GTTTAATTGAGCAGATTTAATGTGCTCCTGCTGCTGACAGCTGGTCCTTCTTACAACGCCGGAGCTGCAGCTCCCTTTGGAACAAGAGAACATGAATTCTTGGAAAGAATGTTTCCGTTCACAAAAGGTTGCTTACAAATGCCCCAAAACGTGTTCAAACATAGACTCTTTGGCCTAATCACATTTACTTTCTGCACCGATTTCTTCCTTCTCTTTGGGGCTACATGCTGAAGCAGGCAGATTTAAGAGCAGGCCCCACTGAACTCAGTAGGAGTTACTAAGGGAAATAGGACATAGGAATATGGGAAACTGTCAGAACATTGAGCCATCTAGTTCAGTATCGCCTACACAGACTGGCAGCAGTTGTTGAGGTTTCAGGTGGGGTCTCCCTCCCAGTTGTATCTGGAGAAGCCTGGGATTGAACCTGGGACCTTCTGCAGGCAAAGCAGATGCTCTGCCACTGAGCTACAGCCCTTACTTCTGAGTAAGCATGCACAGGGCGTGGATCACTTCTTGCAAAATCTCTGCGGAGGGACCTAAAAAAATGAAAATGATTTTTTAGTCCAGCTCTGAGATCTTGCAACCTTTGTCCTTTGGCTACAATGCAATAAAAGGAGAGGTCTGTGCTACTGCTTAAGTTTGCAAGCCAACCACAGAAGTATTAATTTGAAGCATGGTGCGGTGGGCAGCCTGGGAACTGTAGTTTGCTTAGAGGGCTGGGAATTGCAGCTCTGTGAGGGGTTAGACTTCGGGGTAGTCCCTGGATTCTTTGGGGGAAGTTTAAAAGCAAAACAAAACCCGAGCTTGATTACTTTCCTTTCAAAATGTTAAAAAAGAAAGGATACTATTACTATTCCCAGTGGAATAATAATAATAATAATAATAATAATAATAATAATAAATTTTATTTATATCCCGCCCTCCCCAGCCAAAGCCGGGCTCAGAGCAGCTAACAACAGTAAAAATAACACAGTTTACATAAAATCACAATCAATTAATTGAAATACATTCTAAAATCAATTCATTCTAAAATCAATGCAGAATCAAATTAATGGCAACCATTGGGCTAGAGTGCTATGAGGATTATAGAAGGAGGGGGTCAGACTGTGCCTTGGCCAAAGGCCTGGTGGAACAGCTCTGTCTTGTAGGCCCTGCGGAAAGATGTCAAGTACCACACGGCCCTAGTCTCTTGGGACAGAGCCTTCCACCAGACTGGGGCCACGGCCGAAAAAGCCCTGGCTCTGGTTGAGGCCAGCCTAACCTCCCTGTGACCTGGGATCTCCAAGATGTTTTTATTTGAAGACCGTAAGGTCCTCTGTAAAGGGACGTGGGTGGTGCTGTGGGTTAAACCACAGAGCCTAGGACTTGCCGATCAGAAGGCCAGCGGTTTGAATCCCCGCGACGGGGTGAGCTCTCTGCTCCTGCCAACCTAACAGTTCGAAAGCACAAAGTGCAACTAGATAAATAGGTACCGCTCCGGCGGGAAGGTAAATGGCGTTTCCGTGTGCTGCTCTGGTTCGCCAGAAGCGGCTTAGACATGCTGGCCACATGACCTGGAAGCTGTATGCCGGCTCCCTTGGTCAATAAAGTGAGATGAGCGCCGCAACTCCAGAGTCGGTCACGACTGGACCTAATGGTCAGGGGTCCCTTTACCTTTACTTTAAGGTCCTCTGTAGGGCGTACCACGAGAGGTGGTCCCGTAGGTACGAGGGTCCTAGGCCGTATAGGGCTTTAAAGGTTAAAACCAGCACCTTAAACCTGATCCTGTACTCCACCGGGAGCCAGTGCAGAAGGAGCGGTGCTGGCTGTGGCAGTTCCCCGCTTGGCCCAGCAGATGGAAGCAAACACACGGGAGATGCTGCCTCCGCTGGGGAAGGTGATCTTGGGCTGGGCATCACCCCAGCGCGGCGCCCTCCAGGCCCAGCCTGACGGACGGGGGTCGCGGAGAAGCAGTGAGCTGCCCTCCTGCCGCCATCCAAGCTGCACAAAAAGCAGCCGCGGGAGTGCCCTGCTGCGCCCAGCCAAGGCGGCCTTCTGCACGAGCCCCGGAGCTATGAAATCAGACAATGCAGGCGAGACCAGGGCTCTGGCCAGGTGCGGAGCGGGGAGCTAAGTCAAGGCGGAATTGGGGCTGTCAAAGTAGCGCGAGCAAAGAGGGGCCGGGCGGGAGTCCCTGTGGCCCCTGCGCCCCCTGGTTGCCCCCCGCGCCCCCACCCGGCAGAAGTGGCTTCAGAGGCTCCTGCCTGGCCAGCAAGCTGCCAGCAGAGCGGAGCCTTCCCTTCCCTGCGCTTCTGGGGTCGCCCTGGGCTCAGCCAGCAGGCCCAGTGGTCGGAGGTGCTATGCCTGGTGGGGGCCGCCCGCTCCGGGTCTCCCTCCCCGGACATCAGGTTGGGAGGTTGGTCCCACGCACGTTGGCTGTCACTGGTTTCAGGAAAGCTTAGCAGGTGACTCTTGCGCGGATCATGAAACTGCATCTAGAATGGATTTATGAACACACACTGAGAAAGAGAGAGACACACGCAGACAGACTAAAGCATCGGCCGCATCCGGAGCAATGGGGCTTGCTTCCTTGGGGACCCGCAGAGGTCACGCGCACGGCCAGGGGTCTCGGGGTGACGAGCGCCAGGGTCCAGCAGCGCCTGAAACGGACAGAGCTGTCCAAGGCGGGATGGAGAGGGCCGCCCTTCCAAGTCCGGTCGATTTCAAGTCCTAATTCTCTCCCCTCGACCGACAAACTCTTCCCTTGGGCCGGAGGATCCGGCGGGGGTGGGGGTGCTGCTTCCCTCTGGATCGTGGCCCAAATGCCAAGCGCTGTGCTTGCCCCTGCTCTGCCTTGCCGCCCGAGCAGAGGAGGCGAAAGGGCTTCTCCCTGGGAACGGCTCTCCGGCGTTTCATACCGAGCGAGTTTTCCTGGCAAGCCTATTCCTTGCCAGGCCTACTCGGAGGAAGGACTCCAGATGTTTCGGGACTACAATTCCCATCATCCCTGACCACTGGGCCTGTTAGCTAGGGGTCGTGGGAATTGTAGTCCCAAAACATCTGGAGGGCCAAGATTGGCCATGCCTGATCAATGGGCCTTGCCCCGAGGAAGCGGGATCCTCCCTTGCTGCCCGACCAGGGCCTTGCACGGATCCATTGGGTGAGGGGAGCAGAACTGACGACCCCTGTCTTTTGTGGCTAACTGAGCTCCTGACTTCTCTTCTTAGTGGAGAGTTTCTCACAGCCACGCCATCCATTTAAAGCCCTCTCGCGCCTCTTTAAGAGTCTTGGCTCCCCTCTCAAAGAACCCTGGGAACTGTAGTTCGTTGAAGATTTAACAACGCACCCTTCATAAACCACAGTTCTCGGGGTTATCTGGGGGCAGGGAGGCAAGACTCTTCAAGTGTCCTACAAGCCTGGGCGTATGTCGCGGGGTCAGGCTTTATGCTGGGGGTGCTCACATCCTCAGTTAAGTTTTTTTTTTATTAATTTACTTGATTTAGGGGGCCAGCTGCCCCCTGCTCGCCCCCGGGCACGCCCTTGCCTACCAGTGTTTTACATGGATGGTGCCAGGTGCGATAAAGTGAGCATCTGGGGCCCTTGAGCCTTTTGGTCCCTTTGTGAAAGTCACCCAGCAATGAAAGGGTGGTGGTGGTCCTCGGGTGGCTCACTTGGGCCAAGGCTTAGAGTCACGGGTCTGCGGATGGGGCTTAACGACAGGGGTTGCATTAGATGACCCCTGCGACCCCTTCCAACTCTACAATTCTATCAGTCTATGATCTTCGCCGGGTATCGGCCAATGAGCTCTACAAGCGAGACTCCTGCAGAATAACTTCAAACCCCCTTCCTTCCAAGGATGTGTCAGGATGAGTCCCTCCGACTCCTCGCTTTCTCCTCGCTGGCGATCAAAAGCCAGACTGAATGCGAAGGTTGGGTTTTTTCCCCCGTTCTCCATGACGTTTCTCACTTTTGAAACTGAAATAAGTTTCCAATTAAAACAAAAACAAAAAACCGGTCTGCCAAACGCGGAATAAAACAGCCCCTCAACAACAAAGGGTGTTTTTTGGGGAGGGGGCGTTCTGCCCCTCTTTGGATCTTCTTCTGCAATCCCTGAACTGGTCTTCAAAGCAGGCGCTGTCAGTCATGCCTCAGCCCAGTCCCCTCTGTGAGGCATAGGAGCCAAGGTCATTTCGGCGCCCCCAATAAAATATTTGAGGGGGCAGCCCCCCCTCCCAAAGTTTATGGGCATTGCCATTCAAATGGTGTGGGTGTGCGCCAACTGATCAATTATGTGGGGTGGGGCTTACCTGGGGCCCCCAATATTTTATTCAAGTTGGCACGCCTGCTGTGAGGGGAACAGGGGTCTCTCAACAATTCTCAACACCCTTAGCAAGCTACCGTTCTCACGATCCTTGACTGTTCAATGTGGTATCACAGCGCTTTAAATGAATAGTGCGGCTGCTGCCTGCGGCTGCTTCTCTAACCCGCCCCTCTGCCATCCATGGCTGAAGTGGTTTGGGGACACCCTGGCTTCCCCAGACCCTCGCATCGCTCCCACCTGGGCTGAGGCTCCGAGCCTGCGCCCCCAAGAGAGAGGGGGGCGGAGCGCGTTTCTGGGTCTGACATGTTTATGGCTCCTTTTCCTCCCTCCCTTGGCAGCGAGTTTCTAATTAGATTCCCAAATTCCTTCTGGGCTGCTGGAGGAGTGAGTCCCCTTCTTCCCTCCTGGAGCCTCTGCCCAGAAAGCCCCCTCGTCGGATTTCCGCTGGGCTGCATCTAAGACCAAGGTGCTAATTCCTCTTTAATTATCCCAGGGAAACCCTCCGTAATTGCTTCTCTTCCCCCCGCCCCGCCAGCCTCGCCTTGGACCCTCTTCTCCCGCCTCTGCTTATCAGTAAAAGGGGAAGAAGGATTCAGGCAAAGCCTCTTTCCCTGGTGAGCAAAGGGAGTTATCAGTTCCTGCTGGTGCCCAGTTGATGGGATGAAGCTCAAGGGGGGAGCGGGTGGCTGGACTTGACGGCCAGCCAGGGAGGACCTGTTGCCTCTCCTCGACGCCTCTGCAGGGCTTGGGGTGGAGAGGCTCTGGATGCTCCCATCCTCCTTGGAGGTCGTCCTGCCTCCTTGGCCCTGCCCTCCCGTCCAATAAGGAGAGGTTGCCTTGACACCTGCTTATATACCGAAGACGGCAGCAGCCTCCAAATCTCCAGCGCTGGGTTGGGGGAAGAGGGGAGAAAATACACACATAAACACACCCACACTCCCCTCTCTCCATACCTATTTCAAGCCACAGACTTAGGGAGACAGTCGCCCCGTCGGGCAAGGAGGAGAAGGCTCCCGAGACGATGACCTCCAGCAAAATTGAGATGCCAGGTGGGCTGAAGGCGGACCCGGCGGCTCTGATGGCTTCTCTGCATTTGCTCCCGTCTCCCACCCTCAACCTGGAGATCAAGTACACCAAGGTAAGTCACCTGTCTGCTCTTCCCTGCCAGAGGAGCACGGGCTTCTCTTTTTTTGAGCTGACACAAAACCGCTTCCCTCGGACTTCTCTTCAAAAACACACAAACACAAAAGCCAGAAAGAGGTGCGTTTTCAGCTGCTGGATGCCAGTAGATGGGTGGCTCTATGTGAAAGAAAGTCCATAGGATAAGAAAAAATATCTTGCCCTTTCCAGTTTGCCTGGCATCATTTTAACTCTTTGGATCAGTTTTTCTTTCTTTCTGGGAAAAGGGTTTCTCCGCACAGACTTGAGCTCCTGAAGATTGTTGGAGGGCGCGATTGTACAAATCTTGTTTTAGCCTATTGAAAGATGATGAGAATCATGTTCCGTTTTGCTGTTCTAAAAACTGGTGTCTTTCGCTCCTGGGACTCTTCCTTAACAATTCCTGCCGCAGATGTCACCGAGCCAAGTTGTTGTAACTTTGGAAGGAGGGAATCGTTTGCTGATTTCCTTCCTAGACAAATAACTATCTCGAATACAGGCAACTTGGCAAGAAAATTATTTGCTTATCCACATCACCAAGTGCCCAGGGTTGATGCCTTATTCTGCGGGCTAAGGTGTGCGGGCTAAGGTGTGCAGAGTTGATACAGTTGATACAGATCTGCAAGGTTTTTAGCGTATGTGTGTTCGAAGACAGTTATTCCAAAACGCAATTTCGACAGGAAGTGTGATGCCTTTGGTCCGCCTGTTTGTATTATTAAGCACACTGGACATGATCCCGTGGGATGCAAGACCATTTGCACCAGCCCCACTGAGGTTAAAGGGGAATTGCGCGAGAGCGTGCAACTCAGTGAGCAGTCATTGAAGGAGAATTTGGGCATGGATCAGGTCCCAAGCGCGGACATTCTTCATCCTTTGAAAGGGACATTAGACGCTTCAGGCTTGTAAGAAGGCGGCGCTTCTATTTGAAGCCAATATAGGTCACGCAATGCCGATTAACAAGAAACCTCATTGATGCAAACATACATGACAAATGTTTGTTAAAGATTCATTCTGTTCCCAGAATGTTTCATCACGAATGTGTTCTATTCCCAAATTTCATCATGAATTTGCTGCTGCTCCCTGTTTTTACTTAAATCCGAAATACAATAGCCACATGAGGACTTGCTGATCATTCGAATAAACCACCTATTTTCAAATTAAAATAAAAAAATAAAATAAATGTGAGTCTCGAATGCCTTGTGCCGGTTCACTTACCTGGCACTTAACTGCTCTTAACAATGTAAGGATTATTTATCTATAGTGCTAGGATTACTGGGGGTGCGATCCAGTCAAATTAAGCACTTTCAAGCCTCACTGATTTCAGTGGGAGATAATGAAGCCCGTTGCTGACTCTTCCCGTTGAAATCAAAGGAATGTGCAGAAGCGTAGCTGGTTCGTAATCACAGTACTCGTGGTTTTACGCGCAGAGGCTGCAATCCTACATACACTTCCTAGTACGGGGTAAGCCCCATTGAGCTCAATGGAACTTACTTCTGAGTAAAAAAAAAATACTGTATGAATTTTGCTGTAACAATCTATAGCTAAGCATCTTTACATCTATTCTGATGTCTCATCATCTTGCTTAGTTCTCTCCAGCTGAAATCAGTGAGATCTAATAGCGCTTAACTTGGGCTGGATCCTACCACAGTCTTGATATTATTTATAAAAAGAGAAAGAAAAGTGATCTAGATTAAATATGGATATGTAGAAATATGAAAAAAAAATCTGTCTCACGGCAGCTTGTTTCAGTAGCATACAATTAGTCCCAAAATATTTTTGGGTCACACCGTCGCCTCGGTATGCACCGAACGCGGGAGAGACCAGAGCAGATTCTTGAGGACCAGAAACTTGCGCCCCAAGTAGAAGCGGGGGTGACGACGGGCTGGGATTAAGGAGTCACAAGAATGGGACAGGAACCTCCCTCACACGTCCCAAAATTAATGTTGATCTGAAATATTGAGTGGCTGTGGCACTCGTGAAAATACTTTACCTGCGTGAAACTGTGTTACTCTGCAAAAATCCATGCACAATGATGGTATATATCAGTAGTAAGTCCTTGTCGTTTTTTATCCCATATTTCTATAAAAATTACAGTGCATCGAAAAATGGAAATAAAAGGTTGCCTTTGCAAGAGAAACATGGTGTGGGTGTGGGTGTGAGAGAGAGAGAGCGGGGGGGGGGGATCTTAGTTTCGTACACCCGTCTCTGTTTTTCTCGCTCCGTTTTTCTCCGGTCTCTCTCCCCCCACTGCCGCCCTCTCTCTCGGCAGGCCAGGCAAGTGATTTATTGCTAATTGAAGCCTTTAATTGGGTGTCGTGGCTCTGGCCAGACTTTTATCCAGGATCCACTTTCCCACTTATTGCAAAGAAAAACAAGGAGATAGAAAATGACGGCCCTGCGCTGGATTCTCTCAGCCGGTGGGGTCACTTTTATGTCTCTCTCAAGTGACAACTCCTGTAAACAAAAGGGAACAAATCGCCTCCAGAAGGGGAAGGGGAGCGGGGGGGGGGGCGGGAATCACTTGTAACCTCGAGCATCTCAAAAGTTATAGCAGCGCCCATTCTCTCTGGCTGCTCCGCCTCCCTTTTCTTCCTTGAGCGCCCAGCGGGATTTCCTTCTCTTGCCTGGAATTCGGCGCAACCGTTCCAGTTTGTGGATGCTGCGCGGCTCTTGCAATCCTGAGTCTCGGTGGAAAGGCCGCCGCGGTTGTGTCTGTGACTTGCATGCAGAGGCGGGACGAGGGGGGACACTTTAGGCGTGAAATTTCGAGCCTCGTTTAGGAGTTGCGGAGACCTGTCCCCCTGGGGCGCACAATCCACCGGGAAGTTCTCCTGCGCGCAACCCTGGAAATGAGTGAGAGTTGCGCAAGAGTGGTGCTGTGCTCCCGCGCACCTCTGTCATTTCAGGGGGGCTGGCCCGGGAGAAAGGGGTTGGCAGAAAGCATTCTGGGTTCATTAGTGGGAGCGGGGCTGTTTGTTTGTTTGTTTTGCACCTGGGGCACCCAGATGCATTATAGACTGACCCCATCACTGAATGGGGTGATGTTGCTCAATGGAAGCCCTTAAACACATTAAACTATTGCAAGCATGCTCAGATGAGAGCTGAGTGCAGGGTGGGAGCCAAAGGTGGACCAACAACCACAGAAGGAGCATGATGTGTCCTTCACCAGAGACACTCCTTCTCCCAGAGTAGTAAGACTTCTATACCCTACCAGACATAGGTAAAGGAAAAGGGACCCCTGACCATTAGGTCCAGTCGTGGCCGACTCTGGGGTTGCGATGCTCATCTCGCTTTATTGGCCAAGGGAGCTGGTGTACAGCTTCTGGGTCATGTGGCCAGCATGACTAAGTCGCTTCTGGCGAGCCAGAGCAGCGCACGGAAATGCCATTTACCTTCCCGCCGGAGCTGTACCTATTTATCTACTTGCACTTTGATGTGCTTTTGAACTGCTAGGTTGGCAGGAGCAGGGACCGAGCAACGGGAGCTCACCCCGTCGTGGGGATTCGAACTGCCGACCTTCCGATTGGCAAGTCCTAGGCTCTGTGGTTTAACCCACAGTGCCACCCGCGTCCAGACATAAGACTTCTTTAAAAACAGAGCCTGATTGGAATAAGAAAATAAGAGTTGAAGGTTGGAATCAGATGGTGGCTGAGTGTGTTGAGGAAGCTCTTGACTTCTGAGGGTGACTGGCAAAGAAGCAATTCCAGTCAGGTGGGGACTGGCCAAGGACAGACTAAAATTGGTAGGGCTGTCCCCCACTAGCTGCGCTGGACCAGCCTCCACCAGGAACAGAGCTCCTCAATGTTTCTCAAATCTGGGTGTCAAGCTGTACCTTGACTACAACTTCCACCATCCCAAGCTAGCAGGAACAGTGATCAGGGATGATGGGAGTTGTAGTCCAACAACAGCTGTCAATGGCCCTCCAGATGTTGCTGGACTATAGTCCCATCACCATCCCTGGTCATTGGCCTGGCTGATGGGAGTTGGAGTCCAGTCACATCTGGAGGGCCACGGTTCTCCATCTGTGCAGCAGCCACCTGTACTAGCAACCTTCGCTGCTTCTTGTGACAGCAAGCTTCATGTGCTAATTCTGCATTGTGTGTGATGAAGAGGCACTCCTTCTTTCATCTGTTAAACATACAGGGAAGGCTGGTGCATCTGGCCATCAGAGGAGATGCACGAATTCGCCTCCAGATGCTCAGGAACTGAATGTGGAGGCAGCTTGCCTTTGTGTGTTTCCTTGTAACATCCGAAGCCACCCTGCGGAGTCTGAGATGGGGTGCGGGGTGTAGGGAAAGGTTCAGGAAATATTTTGCTAGATCTACAAGCTGTTTACATTGCTGAGAGGTCTGCCTTAAATAAATCCAGCATGTTAAATTGTGCAGTGAAAGACAGCAATATTCACTGAGTGACTCATAAATCTTTCAAACATCAGGAGGTGGACCAGTTTGTTGGGAGAATTGTTGGCTGATGCTGGAGGCTCGGAAGCACCAGGATGTATTGCAAAGGCTGCTTGCTTGTGTATCACAGCTGCACATTCTTCCTCTTGTGTGTAGCTTGAACCGTTATCCTTTAGGGGAAATACCATAATGAAAAATGAAATTTACCTGGACAAGGGCAGTTTAACAGAAGCTCAATCCAAGTAATGCAGAGATGTTGACAGTGAGCGGGTTGATTGCCTACTCCAGAGGGGCTTGTGTGCATCACTCTATTCCATGGGTCGGCAAACTAAGGTCCGTGGGCCGGATCAGGCCCAATTGCCTTCTGGATCCGGCCCGCGGACGGTCTGGGAATCGCTGCATGGATCGCCAGCGCGCGTGTTCTTTCCCTCTCCCTCCCTCTCCCTTACACTGTGGTGCCAGTGCCTCCTCCCTCCCTCCTCCTGGCTTCTCCTTGCCCTGCCTAGAGGAGGAAGGGGGCTGGGCTTTGTTGGTGCCATCAGCAGCAGTGCTCAAGCGGACGCCATTTTAAGCAGCCCCTCTCCGGAGCCCTTCCGCTCGTTGCTCATTGTCCCTCCACCACCAGCCCCTGCTGCTCGCAAGACACAGGTAAGCAGCCACCAGGGCTCATGGTGGTCTTGCATCATCCCCCCCCCCAAATATAGTTTGGCCCCCCACAAGGTCTGAGGGACAGTGGACCAGCCCCCTGCTGAAAAAGTTTGCTGACCCCTGCTCTGTTCCTTAAGGGGCAGCTAAGGGATGTTGGGGGAATCTTCTTGGACTCCCTGGTGTTAGCTGGGGGGGGGGGAGGCAACATTGCACCACATTGTGCTCCTTTCCAATATTCTTACTTGCTTCACCTGGGGGCTTGTAGCTGGACACATTTCCTTAGAAGCAAATCCCAAGGATCTCGCTTCCATGCAGGTGTGCTTAAGGTTAGGATACTAGGACGTGTGTGTGCTCACATTCAAAGAAATAAGAAAGAATGAGTTACTTCCAAGTAATGCCTTGAAGCTTATGATACCAGCAGAAAGAGATTCAGGTGTAGGATCATGGGAACCAACTCCTAGGGGTCAAGGTCCCTTTACCCACCCATAAAATATTTGAGGGGGCTTCCCCCCCCCCAGTTGATGACCATTGCTCTTCAAATGGTGTGTGCACGCTGTGCCTCGTGATCAATTATGTGGGGCGGGGCTTACCTGCCCCCCCTTATTTTATTCAAGTTGGCACCCCTGTGTAAAGTTGTGGGGAATTGGGGATGTACCATAATCAGGCCTGACCTCGCAAAAGAGCCAGTTGCTTGAGGCAGCAGTGATCTCTTCTGCACCTTGAGGTCTTTTGCAGTGCTGCTGAAGGGGCACAACTTTGCGATTCCTTGTAGTTGTGCATGAACCAGGAGTTCCAAAGTATTCCTGGGACTGATTTGGGGTTTTCCCCAAGGCTGGGTGGTTCATCCCTACTGGACCATGAAGATGACTGAGGGGGAAAGAAGCCTACCTACCTGTCCCAGGAGATTCCCTTCACTTACTTTGAACTCCACTTTTGAATAGAAGCCAGCCTCATTTTAATCATCCTAAAGAGCAAGCTGTTTCTTTAAATATTGAGACATTCATGGAGGATTCATCTAAGTGGCGACTATCCAGGATTGTTCTGTGCAAGCTCCATGTTCAAAGGCAGTCTAACACTGAATATGGGTTTGGGGAGAATGACATTGAGAGAAGTGACTTGTCCTCACATCCTGCTTCTGGAGGTATCCGGTTGGCCCCCTTGGGGGAAGCAAGGGCCTTGAACTAGATGGACCTTCAGTGACACCCAGCATCAGCCAGGCTTCTCTGACGTTCTTATGATCCTCCCAAACCATGTAAAATGACAACCATGTGCTTTGGAGGAATTTAAAATTAAAATGAATAGATTTTTTAAAAAATATTTTAATTTTTGCAGGAAATTAATTCTGTTTGACACAGATTTTGCAGGCCCAGCTTTAGGCAGCCTTTTAGAAGTGGCTTATCTCTCAGGAGACTTAGCACATGTATTCTGAAAAGTGACATAAAGAACCATCACATTGTCCTGCCAATTGGCTAAGTCCCTGGGATGGAGAAGCAAGACCTGAGAGTATGGCGGCTGCATCCTTTTTTGCCTCTGATTAGAGATGTGTCCCCCTGCTTGTTGGGCTTGGGAGAGCTCTGTGATTAAACCCTCAGATAAACAACTCGGTAGGAAGACAAAGTGGTGTTATGAATGGAAGACAAGGTTGTTGATACACCCGTCGGCCCCTGTGCAGGAAGGGAGATGCACCAGCCACGATCTCCTCCTTTCTGTCTTGCTTCCAGCTGTATAAACTCCATATAAACACTTTGGGGGGAGCTGGCAGGATTGTAAGCACAAACCAGTGGTCAAATGGGCTAGTGTGGTCTGCAGTCTAGGCAGAAAGTCTGAGGGGAGGGGGGAGATGGGAGTGTGGGGTGTCCCCTTCTCCCCTTCCCTGTCAAAGTGTGTGTGTGCTAAGTTGCAATGTCAAGGTGTTGATGGCTTTGACCAAGCTCAAGGTACCCCTGAGATGCAATTACTCCTAGGCTGCAATCCTACACTTACCTGGGAGTAAACCCCATTGAACACAATGGGACTTCCTTCCAAGAAAACAGGCACGGGACAGTCGTTCAGAAGTGACAGGTCAACCTTCCCCACTATGGTGTCCCTTCAGATGTTTTGGACCCAGAACTATGTTCTACTTCCACTGCTGGAGACCATAATGCTTCTGGATGTAACTTGCTGGAAACTGCAGGAAGGAGTTGTGGTGGTGGTGCTCTGATCCTGGTGGGCTTTGTGTGGACATTGACTGGCCACTGTGAGAACAGGACGCTGGGCTAGATGGGGTACCAACATGACCAGCAGGACAATTCTTACATGAACCTGTGGCTTCTGCCTCTGCTTCTCGTAATGCTGGGCTGAGACCTGCAGACAAAGTCTGGGTGCTCTTAAGGGCGGCTGAGTGAATGAGGGTTGCATCCCATTGGGGTGGGGGTGGTTGAGGCTCACAGAATGGCTAGAGAGGGATTTTTATCCCCCACAATTCATAGTCCCCCAGTGCCACTGATGGGGAGCAGATTCATGGAGAAAGAAGTTCTTCACACAAGACAATGTATCATTCATTGATGGATCTCACTGTGAACTTTGGCAAACTCACAGAAGAAGGGGAGAAGGCCATCAGCGGCTGCTTGTCAGGAGACGGCACTATCAGAGGCCACATGCTACAAAATACTGTGTGTGTATTACTGGCAGGAGAGAGCCATGGAAGGAGAGCCATTTGTCTTCATGCCCTGCCAGTGGACTTCCTGGAGGCTTCTTGCTGTTGGGTGGTGGAGTGGATGAACCTTTGATCTGATCCAGCATTGGTTCTTCTGGTGCTCTTCCAAAAAAAAGTCCATTTATGCCAAGCATAAGCAAGGTTATGGACTACAGTTCCCCTTCTCTCTGCTGACTGGCTGTGCTGACGGGGCCTGATGGGAGTCAGAGCATCCGCCCTGGTTTGTTTTCACAAAGGTTGGCATTTGTTCTGGTTTGTTTGTGAGATGGTTGTACAGTGCTGCATCAAACAGTTGTTATCCCACACACTTTCCAGTGCGTTTCCCCATCACTTTCCTTACAGCAAGTAGTCTATGGAGGGTGTGTGGTTGTTTCGGAAGCAGATCTGTTGTGGCAGAACTCCAAACTCACTCTAGTTGTACCACCTGAATTTGCCAGCAGGGGCCTGAGTCCCATCTCAAAAACCCAGAAATGCCCTTGGTGTGCAAAACCACTGCTGAGGGTGAGTCCTGGTGAGCCCCCACACAAACGATGCTCTGGGTGATGCCAGAAAACTGTAGGGCTGCTCTTGACAGTACACTTTGCAGCTAAATGTCTTTGGCCATTCAAGGTGGTTTTTAAAGTTAGTATGAAGTGTGTTTTACGTTGTTTTTGTTTTAAAAAGCCCAGCCCTACCCTCTGCCTTTAAGCATCCTTTAAGCTGTGTTAGTTCTGGCTCACCACCGCAATCTCTTCCTCTCTTCCTCTTTCTCTCTCTGAGTGCGGTTGGGGGTATCAGCTTTTGTTCAAAGAGCCCATTTGAGATTCTTGCATCTCCCTACACAACCCCACTGTTTCTGTCCTATATTTGGCTTCAGAAATGCCCCCTGAAAGGGCCCTGGAGGTGGGGAGTGGGGAGAGACGCCTCCGTTCCCTCCCGCTTTCCTGCTGATTCTATGGACTCCAATTTCCGAACTCCTTGCAGGGAGTTTCAAATGTACTTCCTTTTTAAATTAAATCCACCCTCTTGCATCGTCGCACGGCACCCCAGGGTGCAGTAAGTCAAGCGCATTGTATTCTGCCCAGCTCCGCTGCAAGAAGGCTGACATTCTAACATGTTGGCAGTTAACTCACACACACAAATACACGCCTGTGATAGCTGCTTGAATCACCAGCCTTTGACAAGAATGTTTTGCATCACGCAGGATGCCTTTTAATTGCCTTTATTTCCAGCAAATTAACATTGGGGGGGGGGAGGCGCGTGGAATTACTACTAAGCTTATTTTTCTCATGAGCAATAAATATCAGGCATGTGCTTACATTTATAGTTTCCTCAGGATATTAATGACTTCCATGCGCCTAGACCTTGCAAGGAATCTCTTCTCCCTTCCTTCCATTTGTATGCAATCATTGGAGGCAGGGCCTCTCCAGGGGTTGTGAGGCCTGGGGGTTGAAAGGGGGTTTCCAGGGCCACCGCCAAGTTCCCTTCCCAGAGGCCCTGATCCCCCAAATCCATCTTCAGACTTTCAGGCCTGTACTGCACCTTGAACCCTGTTCCTCACCTCCAGCAACTGGAGAGCTGTGGCTCCTCAGTGTCCCACCAATGGTTATAGAGCAGAGGAGACTTTTTTTGAAGGGAGGCAGCTGCAAGGGTGAGGAAAGCCCCCTCCCCTAGGAACAAGGGTGGCACCAGCTATTTGGGGTTTTTCAATAGTTTTTTTATTTATTGCCTTTCTATACCTCCCTTCTTCCCAGGATCATAAAAAGGTAAAGGGACCCCTGACCATTAGGTCCAGTCGTGACCGACTCTGGGGTTGTGGCACTCATCTCGCTTTATTGACCGAGGGAGCCGGCGTACAGCTTCCGGGTCATGTGGCCAGCATGACTAAGCCGCTTCTGGCGAACCAGAGCAGCGCACGGAAACGCCGTTTACCTTCCCGCCGGAGCGGTACCTATTTATCTACTTGCACTTTGATGTGCTTTTGAACTGCTAGGTTGGCAGGAGCAGGGACCGAGCAACGGGAGCTCGCCCCATCGCGTGGATTCAAACCGCCGACCTTCTGATTGGCAAGTCCTAGGCTCTGTGGTTTAACCCACAGCGCCACCCACGTCCCTCCCAGGATCATAGGCCAGGCCTTTTCCAGGGTAGCATTGTGGGATATTGTTCCTGCTGGTCAGTTTTTAACCTTGCATCCTGTTTGTTATTCTTTCTTGGTACAATTCCACAATACAGTGGAACCTCGGTTGTCAAACGTAATCTGTTCTGGAAGACCGTTTGACTTCCAAAACGTTTGACAACCGAGGCGCAAAGGGTTGTCGGCAATTTCAATGGTGAAAATTGAGAAATGCGCCTCGGAAGCCGTTCGACGTCTGAGGCACGTTCGAAAATGGAAGCATTCACTTCTGCGTTTTTGGCGTTCGGCTTCTGAAATGTTCGGCTTCTGAGACGCTTGAAAACTGAGTTTCCACTGTATTTTCAAATGATGGTGTTTATCGGTTCTTTAATTCTTCACGAGGTAAGGACACAGGAACAAGTTCTTGTCCTCTGCCACCCCCTGCTCTCTGCTTTGCTTCAGCCTTTCTTGGCCTAGGAGGGAACCTGCATATTTTGTCTTGTGGAGAACAGAGTAGCAGCAGGGGGACAAATATTTTTATTAGGAAAATGAAACAGGAAGAGAGGAAGGGTTAACATACAGACTTTGCTGCTACCACACCAGTGCCTTGATCCAATTCTGGGGACAGAATTGTATCTCTGCAGCTGCTACTGACTTTTTTTGTTTCGTTTTTTGGAGCGGGGAGTGGGAAAACCTTGACTTTAGCAATCTCTTCTCCCATGGCCAGTTGTTCCTTGAGATATTCTGTACACCAGCTTTCTCCATCCTGTTGGTGCCCTCCAGATGTTTTCAATAACTGGGTGATGGGAGTCCAAAATCTCTGGAGGGCCCCAGGTTGGGGAAGGCTGCTCTAAATGAATAAAAAAAAAGCCTTCAGAGGGAGGGGTTCCCTTCCGCAATTACCTGTCCGACTCCCTTGTGGTGGCTTCTCCTCTAAGGGCTCCACATTTCAGATGCCACCAGGGCAGATCTGGAAGCCTATAGCCATCCAGGAAAGGGTTCGGATTTGACAGCCAGAAGCCTGTTTGCTTTGCAGGGAGTTCTTGATGCAGACATTCCTGATGGAGAGAAATGGCGGAATTCCTCCCCCAACCATTCCTGTCCTCCCTACATAGTTTATTGCCAGGCGTAATGGGATGCCATGGAATTGTCTCCATCCACGGCATTTCAGGAGACCTCTCTCCCTCTTCCTTTCTCTCCCTCTTCCCCTCTCTCTCTCTTTCTGTTTTTTTCTTGTGTGAAACAATCCAGACCACTCTTTTCCATGCTTTCAAGCTCCCCTCATTCGTTTGTGGGCACTTGCTCTTATTTCTTTTCTCTTCTCTTTGTAATGAAGGTTGAAATTCTAATCATGGAAGAGGTGATCATATGGGGAACAATTAGGAAAGGAACTGAGAATAAAACAGCATTGTCTCACAATGCCTTCTTAAAAAAGTAAATCTCTGGTGCTGCTGCATTTTGAATAGCAGCACAGTTTTGGTCGCCCCGTCTGAAGAAAATAATATAAGAAGTGCCTCCTGGATCCGTCCAGCTGCATGCCTGTCCATTCTGGGAGCCCACAAGCAGGATCTGAGCACAGCAGTACCGTCTCCTCCTGTGGGTTCCAGCAACTGGCATTCAGAAGCATTACTGCCTGTGACCATGGAGGCAGAACAGAGCCATCATGACTAGTAAACATTGATAGCCTTAACCACCATGAATGGGTCCAATGTGTTTTTAAAGCCATCCCAGTTGCCAGCCATCACCCAGCAAGTTCCATAGTTTAACTATGCAGTATGTGGAAAGAATGGGACACGGGTGGTGCTGTGGGTTAAACCACAGAGCCTAGGACTTGCTGATCAGAAGGTCGGCGGTTCGAATCTCCACAACGGGGTGAGCTCCCGTTGCTTGGTCCCTGCTCCTGCCAACCTAGCAGTTCAAAAGCACCCCAAAAAGTGCAAGTAGATAAATAGGTACCGCTCCAGCGGGAAGGTAAACGGCGTTTCCGTGCACTGTCTGGTTCTCCAGAAGCGGCTTAGTCATGCTGGCCACATGACCCAGAAGCTGTACACCAGCCCCGTCGGCCAGTAAAGCGAGATGAATGCCACAACCCAAGAGTCGGTCACGACTGGACCTAATGGTCAGGGGTCCCTTTACCTTTACCTTATGTGGAAAGTCCTGTCTTTTAACTGTCCTGAATCTTCTGACATTCAGCTCTATTGATTGTCCCCAAATTCTAGTGTTATGAGAGAAGGAGAAAAACATTTCTCTATCCTCTTTCTCCATCCCATGCAGAAGTTTATAAACTTCTGTCATGTTGCCTCTTACTCACCTTTTCTCTAAACGAAAAAGTCCCAAGTGACGCAACCTTTCTTCATGGGGGGGGGGTCGCTCCTTTCCCTTGATCACGTGGGTTGCCCTTTTCTGAAGCTTTTTGCCAGGAAGGCCCTGGCCTGTAGGGGGCATCAAAGAACCAGCTCACAGCCCCCACGCTTTTAAGATGCTGCTGTCCAGAGCTTCCCTACGTCCCCTGCCAGGGCTGAACCAGTGGCTTGAAAGGAGGTCTTTACAACATTAGCAGTAGTGCATAGGCATTGGGGAAGCATTGCAGTGCAACTAATAAAGCAGGGTAAATCCACCAACTGTGCAGTATTGCTGTGTCAAGAACATGGTGTGGAATGCATGCACTGCAATAAAGCACAAGTCTCGAGGGCCACCTAATCACAGTGCAAGGAGGACCCAGTTCTGCCAAGCAGAGGACTTGGGTGTGGATCATGACTGGTGACACATGGTGGTCAAGAGAACAGTTCCCTGCCTGCCCCATTAAGCTCACAACCTAAAATTTGATAATGAAGGGAGGAGGCCGGGGAAAAGGAGGAAGAGGTCTGGTGGAGTTCCAATGTGGGCGGGGGGAGGGGAAGGGTGCTTTTTCAGTGGCCTGATGCACAGAAACTTGGGGCAGTGGCCTGGCTCCACTTCCTGGGCCTTCCAAACCCTCCTGCTGAATCGAAGCCTTTGTGTGGCCTTTTGGTGCCATGTTTCCAAGCTCCTGGTTGCTACCAAAGAGCACAGCTCAACTTTTCCAGTTGGGGGGTCCAGGACTTTTTGAGGCACCCCAGACAACTGCAAGCTCTTGGAGAGGCTTCCTCATGGAAGGGAGCAAAAACATCTCCGAGAGAGAAGCCAAAAGGTTGTTTCTGCCGGGGGCCACCCTGCTGTGCAGCTGCTACCCCCGGGGAGGATGCTCCTGTCGGCAGAGGCCAGCCATGGCAAGATCCTGGGCCCAGCCTCTTGGACAGGGGGAGGCAGCTGTGGAGGGGAAGCAGTGAGCAAAGGCAGGCGTTTGAGCCCCTTCGGCTCATCCCGCCCCCATCTGGATGTCTGCTGCATTCTTTCTCAGGGCGGGGAAGTGTGAGCCTTTCCCCTCTGGCTGGAGCTCCAGAGGCCGATATAGCCTGCTACTCTCAGGAAACACAGCAGGGTCCAGGTGCACAGCTTAATTGGAAGTGGGGCTTGATCCTCTGGGGCTCAGCTGCTGGACATCTAAAGCGGCAAGGGACAGTAAAGGCACTCTGGGCATGCGTCAAGTGCTTTTGCATCAGCTCCAAGGAAAGGCTGCCACATGTTTTAAGAAAGGGGCTTTTCAGTTTGGGCGGCATGTCCTGCAAACAAGCTTCATGAGTGGTGTTTTGGGGTGTTGGGAAGCCTTTTCCTATACAACTCTTGAACTCTGATGCAGCTCGATAGGCCAAGCTGTGGAGGACAAGATCAGAGTCAAGTGATTTCAGCCCAGGCAGAAGGGCAACCCTTTCCAGTCCGTTCCTTTGTGGGCAAATGTTTTGGGCTGTGTGTAGCGTATGTGTCCAAGTTTGGCCCACAGGCCTGAGGTTGCCCACTCCTGCTGTAGAGAACACAGGGCTAGATCCATCCCAGTCTAAGGCAGCTTCCTGTGTTCCTACAAAACGAAGCAAAACATCATCTTCGTGGGGAAGGTGTTGTGGTTCAAAAAGTGCCTCAGTATCGCTTTCCATGTTGGCTTTGGGGTGAATGAAAGGAAGAAACTCATGCGGTCTGATGTTTGGCCACCTATTAGTAAATAGTTACAGTGTGCTTCACCAAAACATTGCCAGTGATGGCTGCCAAGTTATGACAGGGCTGTGCTGTGAAGCTTCAGTTGCAGATTTGACACTATCAGACGAGGGCTCAATAGAGATTGGGAGTGGCTCACTCATCGTTACAGAGAGGAACGTTTCCTCTTCGAGTGTTTATGTACAACTTGCTTTGCCAATTCATTACCAGTCAAGAGAGACTCGCACCCACTCAGACTGGATTTTCAACCCTTTTGAGTAGATCATGTTTGCATTAGCACTTTGCATAGTTCTAGAACAGTCCCCCCCCCCAACTGAAACACTCCAAATGTTGCACCTTCCCTTTGTAGGGCGATTCATCCCTTTGACCATTTTGGTTGTCTCTTTCTGCATCTTTTCCAGCTCTACATTATCTCACCTCAGGCAGAGCCATGATGATGTTGGTAGTGACTCTGCCTTGATTTCTGCCAAGACGAGGGGGAGGCAAGAAAGTTACAGAAAACCAGGCCCTGTTCTCACAGGGATAGCATATTTTCAGGAATCTGGGGACTGAATATCAGCCCAGCCTTAATTTCATTGGTGGGATTTCAAAACCCTTTCTGTTTTGGTGCATTTGGGTTTTTTAAATACAGAAATTGCTGGAGGGGGGGGATGTTCTCCTACCTTTTAATATTAGGCACTTGGCAAAGAATTAAACTTACATTTTTTATTTACACCTTGAGCACTGTGGCCCCCTTTGAATTTAGTGGCAAATAGAAATGTCTTGTTCACATTGGCCTTTATTGGGGAACAAGTCATTACTATTCCCCCGCTCCAAAATCTCACAATAGATTAGAACAGAGGTTTTCAACCTTTTTGAGTCCATGGCTCCCTTGACCAACTACATTCTTTCTGTGGCTCCCCTGTGAGGAAACACACTGCGAGCCTCAGCAGCCCAGTTATGTCACCCCTTGCCTGCAGAGCCAGCAGCCCCTCACCCCTTTTCAGACACCCTCCCTTGTGGAGTGTTGCCTCAGCCTCCTCTCTTCTCCCCTTTCCTTGGGAGTCCTCCAGGCAGCAGCCACCACTACCCCTAATCTGAGCTGTCCTCATACTGCTCCACAGGGGCCTGGGAAGAGGATGCCCCCAGCCTTAGTGGCCTGATGCAGACTGGGCAAAAGTGAGGCCAGACCTTACCTTGGGGTTTCCTAATAATTCCCAGGGCTCTTAACTAACTTCAATCCCTGGGGTGATTTGAGGGAAGCCATGGCTCTTAAAAGTGGCATGATTCTGCTTTAAACGTATAGTGCGGATGGGGAGCTGTGCAGCAAAGTTTGTCATGCCTGCAAAAACAGGGGAGGCGCTTGACACCCCCCACCCTTAATGTAGCCATGAAGAGTCAGAAAGGGGCCCTGGATTCTATGCTCTTGGCTTAGCAACCTCCAATTCTTGTACTGTCAAAGGAAGGAATCATAACTGCAATTGCACAGTAGGGGGTGTGGAGGGGATCTGTGTCCAGCAGATCACCACCAGGAAATAACTGTGTAGGACATCAATGCCCGGCCAGCTATCGGAGCCGAAAGAAAAGGGGGCCAGCAATAGGAATCGCTTCTTTGCACAACCAGGAGCTGCCTTACTGAATTCACTGCCACAGGTGCAAGGGAAGATGACCATTGGCTTAGAAGCATTTAAATAAGGTTTAGAGGCATTCATAAAAGAGGAAAGGTTTATCCAAGGGCTGTTAGTCATGACAGCTGACAATGAACACTCCAGAAGACACCTATCACTTAATACCAGGGGCTGGGTGCTGTCTTTCTGTCCTGGTGGCGAGTTTCCTGGAGGCATCTGGGTAGCTCTTGATAGGAAGAAGGGTGCTGTGGACCTTTGGTCTGATCCAGCTGGACTGGGAACATAATGTTTAAATGTTTCTTTATTGGTTTCATGTAGGAGAAAGGGTCCAAACTCCCTTTTGTTTCTTTGGCAGGCAAGTCCGTGGGAAGGACCTTCCATTTGACTCTGTAAGGGTTTTTTTTGGGGGGGGGGGGATGTGGCTTTTCCAGCTTCTGCTGCCATCACCCAAAGTTTGCTTAATGCCTTTCACCAAAGATGTCATAGGTGGCAAAAGGCAGCGAGTAAATGTTCTTTAATATGATGTAACCTAATCCTGATGGATCCAAAACTGTCCTTTTTCTGAACTCCCTGTTCACGTTCTCCCATTTCACTGAAGTTGTTGAATGCTTGTGCTAAATTATAAGAAAAGGTCTACCCACAGATGATCCTCAGTTGGAGCCCCTCCTGCTCTTTGCTGCTTTGGCCCATCTCTAATTATAGACTGTAATAATAATCACCAACATCCTTCTGAGCAGATGAATTTGTGAACATCAGAAAGATGCTTTTGCCAACCAAAAGAGAGCGAGAGAGAGTGTGCTGTGTGCGCATCTTGACGGTGGTAGTGCTGGTGGGGGGAGGCTAATTGGAACCACATGTGCAAACTTAACATTAGAAATACTTCATTATAGGCACCACAATCAGTGTTGATATGTATTCTGCTGCTTGCTCTGAAATGCCAGAAGTCATTTAGACTAGCTAATCCTTCCTGAGCTCTTCCCATGGAGTTTTTAAAACTTTGTTTTAGAGCCACCAGACACAAAGAGACATGTCCTGCACAGGCTCTCCGCAGAGCTGGCTTTGAAATGCTCTAACAGGAGAATTGGGGAACATTAAGGAGGCTGGCGGGAGGCTTGCCGGAGTGAACCCTCATCCCAAAGCTGCCTCCTGATGGTTCACTTGGGCCTAATCGAACAGCCACTCTTTGCAGGTCACAGGCTCTGCTATTTGTCTCTGACCTAAGAGATCTGGAGTGTTCTTCACATCAAAACCAGGTCTTGCTGAGCTGAGATCAAACAGGCAAAGGTAAAGGATTTGGCCAGTGATTTATCATGCCACGGAGAGCGATCAGGCCAGAAGGGGCCACTGAGGATGAAGCTGACATTCCAGCCGTTTCTCATATGTGCTTAGAAGAGGGACTTCCAAGTTAAACAGAAGGAGGCCCTCCCCCCTCTCTTTTTGCTTTTTCAGGAATAAATATTGAGAGATTGTGTTTAACTACAAATGTCTTCCCAAGGACAGCATTTTCCAAAGCTGATGATTAACAGGAAGGTCTTCACCTAAAAATAACATGGATACACAGACAATCTCAGTGCTACTGCAAAAGGGGCACATTCCACCAAGTGCAGAAGAGCAGTTCCTGCAGAAAGATTCAGCACCTACCTTTTATGTTTTATTAAGAAGTCAAAAAGACACCATCCTTCTGAACCAGACCCCAAGCTCTACTGATCTAGTCAAGCACTCTGTTTTAATGGCATTTTATTTGCTTGTTTGTTTGTTGGATTTCTTGCCTGCACTATACTGTGGGGTCTAAGGTACGTCACAACAATAAAATATATCATTTGTAAAACAAATAAAACAGTGTTATAGTGAATTCTATCATTTAGTTACATATTGTGCAAAGAAGGGCTCTCTTTTGTTTGTTCTGAATCTGTTGCTGAGGAATGTCCCAGAGTTCCTGTATTATAGAAGAGGGAGAAAGCGTTCTCTCTCCACGCCTCCCATTCCATTCATAATTTTATACATCTCTATCAAGCCTTTCCTTATGTATCATTTTCTCTAAACTAAAAAGCTCTCAATCCTGCCATGTATTGTCAACTTTGTCTTCTCAGATGAGGCACTGAGAGCCAGGGCCTTCTTATGTGTGGCACCTCTCTTGTGGATCTCCGCTGCTCTTGTCCTGCGGAGCCCAAGTGGTAGTGGAGGGGAGGGGAGAGGAGGAAAGCAGCACCATGGAGAGCTCATAGGGAGCTTCTTGCTCTAAGGAGGGCTGGAAGTGACCTGAGGCCTTTTGAAACTCTCCCTCCTAGGTTCTGCCCCCCTTTTGGAGAACAAGAGCCTCTGGAAGGGCCAGTCCACTGACCTGGAGAAGCCCTCTGTCCTAGTGTGGTCCCTATGCCATTGGACTGGTGAGATAGCATGGGAGGTACCACAGGCAGGTGCCTGTGAAGGTTCTGGCTCTGGTCCTATAGACCCTGGTGCTGTGGGTTGTGCTTCAGTGGGCTCCTCTGCCAACCTCTGGTCCAGCTGTCCTCTGATCTCCAGCATCTTGGAACCTGCTCTGGTTCCTTAACTTCTGACTTGGTCACTGCAGGACTTCCCTTAGCAGCAGACCCAGACTTGGCATGGATTAGGTTCCGAGGTCAAATCCCTCGTATCTCCAAAGGAATTGGCAACAGGTGGCAGGAAATACCTGTCTGCCCAAGTCCCTGCCAAGCTGCTGTTTCAGTCTGAGCATCTAATACTGGCCCAGGCGGACCAATGGTCCCGACATGATAGTTGTGTCCATGAGCAAAAATGTGCAGCTGTGTGCTTGTCTCCTTTTCCCAAAAAGAGGCCTTGGTTGAGGGACAGAGCACCTACTTTGAATGCAGAAGGTTTCAGAATCCACCCCCTGACTCTAAAGCAGCAGAGAGAGATCAGGGGTCTCATCTGGGTCAGCGCAGCTAAGTGATGGGCGGGGGGGACGGTGACTAGGATACTCAGAGTCCTCCGTAGCCATGAGTGTGAGACCTTCACTTCACCTCACCCCCCCACCTGCCTCACAGGTTTGTTGTGAGGATGAAGAAGGGTAGAATACAAATGGGATTTTAAAAAATCATCCAAGGTAGCTTCATCTGTTTATGTAGAAGTATCTACACTGTGTGTGTGTGTGGGGGGGGGAGAGAGAGAGAGAGAGAGAGAGAGAGAGAGAGAGAGAGAGACTGTTGCAGACTGAGCCCAGCAAAAAGTGGTAGAGGAGTAAGCATTCCTGGACCTCAAGGCCGACGTCTGTGTGTGTGTGTGTGTGTGTGTGTGTGTGTGTCTAGGAGGCAGCAGGTACAGAAAGCATCCAAAGCTGCCTTTATAGTTGCTCATCCCTAGCACCCACCTGGCCCAGTATTGCAGCTGCTTCCAGGGGTTCTTGCCACAGAGGCTATTCCCATCTCCAACTTCCTGGGATCCTTTTTAATCAGAGGTTGAACCACAGAACCTAGTCAAACTCCCTGTCCTCAAGACCTTTCTCCAAGATCTCCCCTCCTGTCTCTTAAGCCCCTTCGCTCTAGGCGTGCCCTCTGGGGCCTCCTTTGCACCCTTCTGTGGGACCAACAGCCTTTCAGATCCCCCCTCAGGTTTCTCTTCCTCTGGCTGACCTGAGACCTTCCTTTCTGCCAAATCTGTGCCCTGCCAATAAGCTCTGGGTCTCTATTCCCCGTACCTCATATTTGGAAAACTGCAGGAGCCAGTCACTTTGGGGACAGAGTGTGGGTGGCAGAGACAGACAGGGTCCGAGTGACCGTCTTCCACCTTTGCCAGAATCTGTGATGGCCTTTGCAGAAGGACAAAGTTCCGCTGGTGATGAGTCCCTAAAGCCAAATTCCTCCAAAGCGAAATGTTCATTGGGAAGGATTCTTCAGCCAGCTGCTGGTGGGTAGCTGATCCCAGGAATGCATCGTCATTCCCTGGCGGGAAGGTTTGGGCTTGTGTCGGATCAGGACAGCCATGTGCTTGAGAGCAAATGAGCCCTGAGAAATCAAGACACATCACGCACCACACCTTGGGTTGGGGAGGATTTTCCTTTGCCAGGCTCAACACTGGAGCTTTTGAAAAGTTTCCAAACAGAGAGGAAATGAAGGATATGAAATTTCCGGAGGCACAGGTGCCAGGTATCTTCAGTGTTATGAAATATTTACCAAGGGAAGCGGGGGCTGCTGGATTTTTTGCATGCCTCCAAAATTATCCCCAAAAAGTGTCATTATGCACTCAGCTCCTGCAGCCTCGAGATGGTCGCTTGGGGCCAAACAGCTGAGATTCCTCCCTTAAGCTTCTTTGGCATCCGATGCCTCCCCCCCCCCCCCCGCCAAAAAAAACCCTCTTGGAGGAACGAGCCTCATATGAAAAAGGGATCACTTTGATGGAACTGAAACTATAACCAGCTACTAAATCAAGAGAGCTAGGAAATTCCAATTCATCCAAAAACATGCTTCTCTCCTATGGGAAGCTGTTATTATGTGGATGTAAAATCCTCTTCCTGTATGGGGGAGAGGAAAAAAACATTATGGAATTGCAGAACTACAAGAACATGGTTTATTAAATCCATGGGAAAATAATTCCACCTTGGAGGACCCGAGGGCTCAGGCTTAATTTCTGTCCACTGGCTGAGGTTCTTGCTGGTGCTCCAGGGAGGTCGCCGCAGATGCCTGATGACATCATCACGAATCAATATTGAAGGAGGAATGAAAATTATTCACTCGCACGTCGTTCCAGGACATATTTCAAGAGAGGAAATGAAAGGTTACACTGCATGCCATCCATGTTGATTCGTTGGCCAGTGGTGATTGTGATTTGGTTGCTTTTAATTGCAGAGTTTAAAAGGAGATATTAGAAAAAAGAGACTCAGTGGATGTATTACTGTTCATGAGTTTTAAACATTGTCCTGTCCAAACTGGGTGGATGTTAGAAGGAATTTGTATTCAAACCCCCAAACCACTTTGGTTCTATACAGAATAGAGCAGAAAATTGTCAAATTTGAAACTGGGATGGGTGGGTAGGTTTTATACAATAATTTCTTAGCTGCAAAGAATAGAAAGCCTGGTGTGGGATTTATGTTTTCTATCTGAAGTGAATCCCCTGGGCACTAGGAAATTTCTCTTTCCATAAATGTGAATGAACTCCATTTTACTTGTCGCTAAGAAATGGATGAGACACATTCATTCTCAGTTTTGTGTTCAACACGACCAGGATGTGTCCACAGGGCCATTATTCAATTTAGTTTCATAACACGAGGCAAGGGGCGATTTAGATGTTGTCATGGGTGGCAGAGTGTCTTGTACTCTGCTTAGCTGTCTCCCATTTCCTTATTATTTTGGAACAGTGGAGGCTGGCTGGTCATTTCTCTTTCATAAGGCAGGCTGTTCCAACGACACTCCATGGTTTGGGCAGGCAGGAAATCGGGAGAGAATTGGCTGACTCTTCCTCCCAGCTGCAACTGGAGACAGTCTGCTGGCAGTTTCCCAATTCCCAGGCCATGATCCCGAAGGCTGTAGGTGCCTCTACGACAACCCACTACGGGAGAGGTTATAAATAGTATTGTTGCCACACAATTTAAAGGTAGGAGCCATCAGTGGGGCTTTGGCCCCTTGCAGGGTAGAAGGATCTGTGTGATATCCTGGGGTTCTGTGCCTGCTCCTAAGTAGAGGTTGCCTCTGTCAGCCTGAGGCTATGAGGCCCCTTTTCTTTGGATTTGGGGTGTGAGGAGCCAGCACCATTGACTGATGATATCCTAGAATTGGGCTGGCAGGGGGAAACAAAGACCAGAAGATGGAACAGGCAGAGCAGAGCTGTGGTCCACAAGTGCACAGGACCGGTTGGAATGGAAGCACCTCTTCCCATTCTGATGCAGTTTGCACATCTGGCAAACCATGCAGGAGGCCTCTGATTCCTTGCAGGAGATTGACAGTCCTTTTGAGGAGAAACTGGACCGGCAGGAGGATAGCATCCTTTACCCACCATGGATATGCACTGACTCGTTTTCTTTCCCCTGCCTGTGGCCACCGGACAAGGGCTTTTGAAGTGCTACTAATCCTGTTGAAAGGAGTCTGGAAAGGGGACGAGTAGCAAGAAGGCCTCTTTCCTCCAAGCACCTTCTAGAAAAATAGTCTGCGCTGCCTCAAGGCCTCCTTGCCCTGCAGAGGAAGGGAGGGAAGGAAGGAAGGAAGGAAGGAGAAGTTCTTCCCTCTCTGGGCAAAGTGATCCAGAGCACCTCCTCCACAGAGGACGAGGTAGGATCCACAAGGAGAGCCCTATGGAAATGGACCAAGGGTGGTTTCCTTAGCCCTGCACCCTGTTTCCAGATGCCAGTGGGAAACCCAGAGGTAGGACATGAGGAAGGCTGCCTTGAGGGGGTGCACTCTGCCAGAGCCATGCCCCAGCATCCTTGGGGGGCACATTTCATGGCTCCAGTCTAAGAACTGGGCCAATCACATGCCTTTTCTGGATATTTATCCCTCTATTTTTCTGAAGGCTGAAGTGGCTTACAGCATTTCAGCATTTTAATGTCCTAACTATGAAACACCAGTAAAAATAGCATTCACAGGGTGAGGTGGTGGTGGGAGGCTCTCCCTCTCCCAAGAACCGGGTGAGATCCCGGAATTCAGATGCCAGGGGAGAGCAGGGACATTGGGAGTTCAGCTCTGGGCTGCAGTTAGTTTCTGAGCTGTGAGGCGATAGCAGCAAATGTTTATGTGTTTTCCGTGTTACTTGCAAAATATATCAAGTGTTTCTCTCCATCCTACTGCCCCCCTTCCAATTTGGCTCAGTTCCATGAACCATGCCCCCATGAGCTAAATTACTTAACTGCTTACAGTGCCACATAGCAAACACATGACACCCCTTTTAGCAAACCACGGAATGTAACTCTGGGGTTCAAACCAAAACAAATGACCTCAGCAACTCTTGGGAGATTATACACACACACACACACACACACACACACACATATTTACACACACACACACACACACACACACACACACACTTAAAGCAGAATTAAGTTGTAAAACCCAATGGCTGATTTATGGCCGCAGTCAGCCTTAATTAACATTGATTCCAGGGGAATAGTAAACGTTGAATAGGGTTCACAATTGAAGCTGAACAATGCCCTCTCTGGGTGTTGTTCAATTTGTAGCATGATTTACATGGAGGCGAGCCCTTCCATTCCTGGGGTTATCCCTTTTTCATCTGGTCCTTGGGATGAGTTATATATAATCCACTGATAGCAACATTTGCTGTCAAATAGTCCCCTTGATTTAAAGTTACCCACTACAATGGTCACTATAAATAAGAAGGAAATAAAAGAGGGAAACGAAAACCCAATTTGAGGCTTTGCAGGGATTCCTTGTTTGGGCAATGTGTCATCGCTTGTCCAGGCCCGTGGCGTTTTTACGAACTGGCCGTAATGAAAGTCAGATCAAATGTACAGGCTCTAAACATTTAATCAACAACCACTGGAACCGGACAAGTTCTTTAAAAGCCCCAGCAAGCTCAAATTTATTGTCTAAGAACCTCGGTCTTGGTGGGGAGGGAAGCCGGTGGAGGAATGGCACTACCTGACACCAAACGCCTAAAACTTTCAAAACGTGAGTTATTTAAACATAAGGTTGTGCTTGTAAAGCCGCCAGCTGCTGGATTTCAAGATTTGAAACCCTTCCAAGAGTTTGGACGAGGTACTTTATATGGGCAGGAGAGTAAATACTCCAATTTTACTGCCAATTTAGAGGCGCTCGGTTTACAGTAATGAGCTTGCCTTGACCGTCCTTTGTTTATAGAAAGTGGAACAGGAAGAAATGAACGTTAACCATTAACAGTAGCAATCCCTCAAGCCTCTCCTTCTCTCTCTGCTCCATGCCAGGCTGACGCCTTGCTCTTATTGGAAGGCTGGCTGGACACCTTGTCAACCGCAACTGGTCATGTAGAGAATAAAACTATTGGAGTGGATGCAGGGTCGCTCAAAAAGCGGCCTTCCAACAGCATTCTCCAAACGCTGTCTGTGGAACTCATTGTCACAGGGTGTTGGATTGACTACTTGCACCAGCAGCTTGTCAGGATCAGCCCTTCCATTAGGCAGAGGGAAGCATCTGCTTCAGGTGGGATGTGGCCAGGGTTAGCTTCAGCCACCTTCCATCACCCCCCTCACACACACCCTGAATTTCCTCAGCTAGCATGCTGCCCTCACAGACCTGGGTGGGGAAATGTTGCCTAATTCCTTGTGTGGGAGTCAGATTCAGTGGGTGGTCCAGTTGGATCCTGCACATGGAATGAGGTCATGCGTCCCATCTTGGCCTTCTTTGCCTCAGGCAGCAAAATCTCTTGGGCAAACTTTGCTGAGGTCTGGACAGTGGTGATGCTGAAGGCTGATATCTCTTCGTTGCTCAGATCTGGAAGGAGTTAAGGTAGGGCTGCCATACGTCCATAATTTCCCAGGTATATGTGGGATTCGCCCGTTGTGTGTGTCCAGATTTCCACTTGAAATAGGGCAACCCTAGTTAAGGAATATCACCTGACTCACTCCGGCCTATTGGTGAGATTCCTTGGGTGGTAATGTTATTTCATGGCTCCGTAGGTCCTTCCCTCAGCCAGAGATGGCAGCAGGGGGCAGCACAATGGCTGGACATAGGTAAATGTAAAGGGACCATTAGGTCCAGTCGTGGCCAACTCTGGGGTTACAGCTTCCGGGTCATGTGGGGAAGGCCGCCAAGTGTTGTGCTGTTGTTGTCTGTTGAATGTCTCAGTTGCTCCCATCTCTGAAGGTTGGATCTCTGCTTGTTCTTGTGATCCAAGCAGAGACTTGTGATCCAAGTCAGGCATCTGTTTTAAGAGTTGGTCTTCTTTGTGATGCGTCTTGTATACTGTAAAGAACTTTGGGTGCCTGGAATCCTGTTAGGAAGGTATTCTGTCCCCTACTCAAAAGGCGTCAAGGAGTTTTGAGTGGTGGTGGTGTAGCAAATGGAGAAGCAGAGAGGGAAAACTTGCACAGACTCAATGGACTGAATGGCAGCTAGAGATGGGTTTTGAGAAGGGGTGCACCAGAAAATGTCCAGATGGATGGATAGATGATAGATAGATAGATAGATAGATATAGATAGATAGATAGATAGATAGATATAGATAGATAGATAGATAGATAGATGATAGATGATAGATGATAGATGATAGATGATAGATGATAGATGATAGAGGATAGAGGATAGATGGATAGATAGATAGATAGATAGATAGATGATAGATAGATGATAGATAGATAGATAGATGATAGATAGATAGATAGATAGATAGATAGATAGATAGATGATATAGATGTCTTCATGTTTGCAAGGGGGAGGGGAGTATGTGCCATTTGGATTTTCCGCCTTCGGCACCGAAATATTTTGAGCCAGTCCTGCATCTTGGATCAAGGCTCCGTTAATTCCACACAATGTGTTTTCATCTCAATCAACGGCTTGTTTCCTTGAAGAAGAGTAAAGTTGGAGATGATTTCACATTATCTGGGTGATTCCCATGACAAAAAGGTTTATGTTTTGAGATGGGGTATTTGGATGGCTGAGCTCTGGGCGGATTTGCCTTCATTCTGGATAGTTGTGTGATTTTAACAATTTGGGGTTTTGCAGTTTCTCTTTGTGCTCCGAGAATCCCAATTTCAATTTCAGGCAATCCACTTAAGGCTTTAAATCCTATCTCTCTTGCAAAAGGACTGTTGATTTGGAGTGACAGATGGATCCAGGCTTTCATGTTAATTTGCAGAAGCTGGTGAGCTAGCCAAACTTGCTGCAGCAGATCCTGCCCATGGCGTGTGTGGCAACACATCACACACACACACACACACACACACACACACACACTTCATTACAAAAAAGAGCCGCTCCCCAAAATAAGATGTGCCAAGACACCTTAACAGCACAGATGAGAACAGTACCACCATCTTAGTAGCTGCAAGTTTTAAAAACAAAAAAACCCCTCTGTGGCCTCATTTCTGAATACCAGACTTAGTACTTGGCCATGGAAAAGAAGCAGCAAAGTAGCTGAGTGCATGTATCTCAGGAGCACCTTGCAGACTGAGTGCCACCACCAAGAATGCCCTACCCTAGAGATCATCCTTAAATCAGCCAGAGCATCCTTTGTTAACCTGATGCCCTCCAGACGTTCTGGACTACAACAACAGTCAACCCAAAACTTCCAGCAGAAACCACCTTGACAAAGGCTGGGGCCAAGGATGTCAGTGAGCCTCCCACCCTCTTTGATGAAAGCAAATGTGAGGAAGCACATATAGCTTTAAAAAGTTACCTTTGTCTTTGTTTAATATCCATTTTTTCCTCATTCAGATTTTTATCAACAATGAATGGCAAAACTCAGAGAGTGGGAAAGTATTCCCTGTGTCCAACCCTGCAACAGGAGAGCAGATCTGTGAGGTGCAAGAGGCTGAGAAGGTAATGTATCCTCGGAATTTGTCTTCTCCTCATGACACCTGGCCTGCCCTATCCCTCAGCTCAGGCAGAGAAACAGATTCCTTCTCACCCTCCATGTGACAACACTTCAGCTGGCACGTGGGCACTTTGCCCACCCAAAGGCCCTCTCTGCCCATCTGAGCCACTGCCAGCCATTGGCGATGGGCAAGGGATTAAGAGGTTTCCTGTGTGATGAAGAAGCGGAAACATTTATCTGGTAACTTCTCAAAGCCCCCCCACCCCCACCTGGCACAATCAGGGTCGCCCTCTCCCGATTACCTGGGAAATGGCAGGCTGTGGGCAAATGGAGAAGGGCTCTTAGGCTACCTCCAAACCTCAGTGCCCCAATCTCTCTGGCCTCTGGAATGGAACTGCAGCCACAGTCCCCTGGGAGGGTCTGCTGTGCTTGAGGAAGGGGCACTCGGAGGCTTGCCCTCACTGCCCAAAGTGTGTCATGAGAAGCATCTATCTGCCCTCTCCAGCCAGGCGGCCTTGCAGCCTTCCCTGGGCAGCAACCCAGGTTACCTGGTTCCAGTTCATGGTTGTCTAAGTCAGCCTCATCTTTTTTTTTTTTAATATAATTTTTATTAGTTTTTTAAGATATCATTTTCAACAGTAATTAAACATACTTTTACATCTTATTCAATTTTTTTTACTCCCATCAGTCCTGTCTGAAAATTTTCCAATCTAATCTCTCAGTATGCATTTCTTATCCTCCCTATTACATTTCAAACTCATAACCAATATCTCTGTCTTTTTCTACTTTGTAACACTTTGTATATTTCTCCTTACAAAGCTTCTTGTAGTCCTACTAGCATAATTTGTTGGTTACAGTTGCTCTCAAATAATTCATATACTTCTTCCAATCTTCTGTAAATCTCTGGTCCTGCAGGTTTCGAATCCTTCCTGTCATTTTGTCCAATTCTGCATAATCCATTAATTTCGTCTGCCATTCTTCTTTCGGCGGAAGTCAGCCTCATCTCAACCCTGGTCCATTCCAGGTGCTTCAGACTACAGCTCTCTGCTTTAACACCAGATCATGTCTTCTTTTCACCTGTGCATGTTTTAATCCGACGAAAGACGCCTTGAGTCTTTTTGAGAGAAAAAAAGTGTGTAAGGAATTTTTAAAAACTGCACTAATGAAATGCATGGGAACAAATCCTAAATGTCTTTCGTGTATTTTTCAAAGACACCTATCAGTCAGTCCGTCAATCCACCGACATCTTTTCTTCCCAACAAGGATTGTTTCTGGTGCCGTGTTTGTACTTTGTACTCACTAAGGTTTCTCCCCCCCACCCTTTGACAGCCTGACACAGACAAAGCCGTGAGGGCCGCTCGCCTCGCCTTCTCTCTGGGCTCCGTGTGGAGGAGGCTCGATGCCTCGGAAAGGGGGCGCCTTTTGGACAAGCTGGCTGACCTGGTGGAAAGAGACAGAGCCTTACTGGCTGTAAGTTTTGCAATGGGACTGGTGGGAGCGGGGCGCTGTTTTTTCTGCCCGCTGAGAGTACTGTTAAAAATGCTTTGGGCATCAGAATATGACATGCAAATAAGTTTGTTTGATGTGCTTTTAAAAACGTTTTATTAGAGCTGCCACCCAATTAAAAAAAAGTATGATTTTTGTTGATTTGGTAGTTCAGCCATGGTCAACCTGGAACCCTCCAGATGTTGCTGGACTCCAACTCCCATTAGCCCCAGCATCATATTGTCAGATTGGCTGAAGCTGATGGGAGTTGGAGTCCAAAATATCTGAAGGTTGAATAACAACAACAACAACAACAACAACAGAAGCAGCAGCAACAGCAACAACAACAACAACATATTTGTACCCTACCCATCTGTCAGGGTTGCCCCAGCCAGTCTGGGTAGCTTCTAGCATATATAAAAACATAGTAAAACATTAAACCTTAAAAAGCTTCCCTATACAGGGCTGCCTTCCTAAAATATATACAATTGCTCACCTTCTTGACATCTGATGGGAGGGCATTCCACAGGGTGGGCGCCACTACCGAGAAGGCCCTCTGGCTTAACTCTTCTCTTCCCAGAAAGCCCTAATGAGAAAGCCCTTGCTCCACATCTGGGCAATTGAGGTCCATGTATGTTTATGGCAAGGGTCAGTTCTTGAAGCCTCCCATATCAAAACAGCCCCCGTGACATGGCTCCTAGATGGCATCTGCCACTGGGCAGGTGTCCTGAGAAGAAGGTCTCTCAGCAAAGCATCCTCTTGCTGAATGCAGGCTGCTGAATTCTGCATCAGGAGAGGCTTCTATACAGTCTCCAAGGGCAGCACTGCAGAAACAGGTGGGCAGACCCTCTTGCGACTGTATAGCTTCTCCCACTCTAGCGCTTTGGGGAGAATGTTGTGTCAGAGGCTTGTGCCAGGAGCAACTGTGACTGTGTCTGTGTCTGTTTGGGCTGTGGATCCCTCAAACCTTCAGGCTCTGGGGTCCAAACGCACTCTCTGTGCATGTAAACCCCAGCTCTCCAACCCCCTTCACTGGGGCTTTTGTGAGAGATGCCCTTGGTGGATTGGGTGCTCAGTGGGTTGCTCGCAGCCTGAAGGCTGGAGGTTGCCAGTCCCCTGCTAGAATAATAATTTCTGAGCCTGTGCAAAGCAATCCGCACCCCCCCGCACGCCAAAGAGAGAACGCTGAGCTGCACAGTTCAGGCACGACGCGGAGGAGCACATGTGGTCGGCCCCGACATGGTGGCACTCTTAATGTTATTTTCCACATGTCAAGTGCTTTGAACTAAGCCGGCAAACATCTTAATTCCAGCTTTGTCAACACTTAAATCATCTTACCACCAGTGTATGCTGTAAAATCGCCACGGGGAGAAGCGGAGGGGCCCAGCAAATCAAGTCAGCTCCCTGCCTGTCGCTGGATTTGCGGTTCCCGAGCCAAATTCTTTATTGAGCGGAGCCCACCGCCTACCATGCCACTGACTTCAATTGCAGGATGGGAGGCAGGGGGAAAAATATGGCTATTGCCCTTCCGTATATCAATGGGATTTATGGCTCACATCCATTTGTGTGTTATACCTGCTTTCACGGATACATTTCCCCCAGCTTGGAACTATCGTGGGGAGATAATGGTGCCTCTTAAAAGTGATTTAAGCGATCTGGGTGGAAATTTTATGGGGTTCCTTAAGAGGATCTTTAAGGTCTTCTTTTTAAAATGGGAATATCCCCTTAAAGAAGGGCCCGTGGCTTGTTTCATTGGGGCTCGGAGCCTTCCTAGAGAAGAGCAGGCTTATTTGATGACGGGCTGGACGCTGTAGATATCACATCGCTCAGCAGGGGTCTTGGCAGCCATGGCAGAATTCCTTGGAGACTTGTTCCAAGGAACAGTACAGTGGCAAAGCAAAGTGAGGAACACAGAGGAGTGTGGCTTTTTCAGAGCAGGTGTGATGGCATCACCTGCCAAAGTGCTAGGATACCGGTAATTGGCAGACCCTTCCATGCTCTGGTAGATGCATGAGGTGATAAGGAGGCTTTCACATTTGTTTGTGACAGATTAGAGGGAAGTCAGAGGATGAAGAAAATAATCAAGGGGAGGCTGGATACATCTTTCTTTTCCTTTAACACGGTTCCCACTTCACACAAGCAGTTTAAATGACACATGTCTTCTCTGCGCAAAGTTTTGCATTTTTAACGAAAAGCTAAAGTTTGCATTTCATCTGAAGATATTTGGTTAAATGTGTTGGTTGATGTGTTTTCCAAACTGAATCTGTGCAGTTAGATGCAGGCACCACTGAGTTCAATGGAGCTTCTCCCAGGAAATGATGCCTGGGGTTGCAGTCACACTGATCCTGAAAAACTGAGCAGGATGCTACTTCCTGCTGCTCTTTGGTGCATGTAAACGAATAGATCAAGGCTGCTGCCTGAGATTTAGAGCTCTAGTTGGGGGTTATCACGATGTACTCCTGTTCTTCAAAATTTACTATGATACCACTGTTTCAGAAGGACAAGCTGACCCTTCGGTTTCAATATGTTTCTTATTAGGAGAGGGTTCTGGCAAGCTCTCTCCCAGCTGCTGTCATTAATGTAGCAAAGCCCAAGGCTTTCGTTTTTCAGCTTGGCCCCTGTCCATAGGAACTTCAGGTTTATCTGGCTGACCTGAGCCCAGTGGCAAAAGCGAGGCAGACAACTCAAGGGTATTGGTATCGTCAGCTTGAATGGTGGAGAAAGGTGGATCTATGGAGCACACATGGTCTTCTGGGAAGTTTTCCTGTAGCTTGTCACCTGCAGATGAACAGGAGCTATGCAAGAGCATTGCACATCTCCCAGTCATGTCAGTGCGACTTGTACAGGAGAACTTCCTCCTAAGATGCCCTCTTTCTGTGCTGTTGGGAACGGGCCTCTTTCTGGGATACGTCCTGTGCCCCCATTTATAGCACTGAACTTTGGCAACTACCATCCAGCTATGCCCATTTCTTCCGGGCTTCTTTGCCCACTCCAGTTTGATCACCAGGATCCCCCACAATGGCTCGGAAGTTGCTGACACAGCAGCTGAGATGCCAGGAGCAATTTGGGAGCGTACCTCTCAGATTATGTGCTGTTCATCCACACCCCGAAAAATCTTACCACTCCAGCCCCTTTGTACAGCTGGACCAGCCCTAGCTCACAGTGGCACTTTGATGAGCTTCTGCAGATACGGAGACAGGAACAGCTGTCCAAAGGGGCCCTGTGACTTCCCTTGGCATATGGACTAGGCACATGAGAGGTACAGTCAGGAATGCACTCTGAAAAGACCGATGTTAAAGAGGCAGTCCCTGGTGTATGCCCAGCCAACTTCCTCAGGCCTTTAAGGGTCAAAATCCAGTGAAAACTCACCAGTTGCAAATTATAATAGCCTTTTTCTACTGTCCTGTCTCTGAATAGGAAATGGTTGTGATCGCTGGCTCTACATGCCTTTTCTTTTGTCTTCTTTCTCCTCCAGACCATGGAGTCACTGAACAGTGGGAAGCCCTTCCTGCAGGCTTTCTATGTTGACCTTCAGGGCGTCATCAAGACTTTGCGCTATTATGCTGGCTGGGCAGACAAAATCCATGGAGCGACCATTCCTGTGGGTAAGTCAAGTCCTTTGAAGCAACAGCTCCTGCCTACGAGGACAAGGCTCTCCTGGGGTTTTATTTGTGTCACGAGTAGACCGAGGGCATCTCTGTAGCTCTTAGCCAGGATGACAGCTATAGAGAGATGTTTCATGTTCACAGGCCGTGTGTGTGACATCTGCCACTGAGAGAGGGATGTTGCCGCCTCCCACTCCAGGCTCTCCTCCTGGGCCTCCTGGGGGCATTTGGGCTGGTGTGGCAGGAAGCAGGATGCGGAGTGAAATGGACCGTGGACCAGATGGCTCCCTGTTTGGGGAAAGAGTGTGACTCAGAATGTATTATTTATTTATTGCATTTACATCCCATCTTTTTCTTCTCTAAGGAGATCAAAGTGGTGTGCACAGTTCTTCCTCTCCTCATTTAATCCCCACAACAACCCTGTAAGGTTAGTCAGGCTGAGATGCAGTGACCAGCCCAAGGTCACCCACTGAGCCTCTGCATGGCCAAAGGGAGGGGGTTGAACTCTGCCCTCCCAGTCCAATTCTGACACTAACCATTCCCAGAGGCGTTTGAAGGCAGAGCGACCGGTTCAGCTGCACTGGGTGCTGGCGCTGCAAAGGGCACTGCAACAACGATGCAGAGCAGAGTGGGGGAGGCAGGTGGCTGCCTCATTTTAGTGTTGCACACGGTGCCACTGAAATTTGGAAGCCCAAAGTCCGTCACTGCACCACACACATGGGGGGGGGGGCAAGAGCAGAGAACAGCTGTCCATCCTGCCCCCGCTTCTCATTCCATGGCCTTTGGCTCCCACACCTAAAAAAGCAGCTCTGCTCAGATGCATTGTGGAGGCTTTGCCACTCAGCCAGAGAACCTGAACATCAATTGCTGCTTGCTAGGGAGACTGTGTTTGAAAATGTGCAAAAGAACCCCTGCCAGGTAACTGTGAGTCTCTGAATGTCTGGCGCTCTCAGGCCCCTCCATTTTGTTCCAGTGGGGGTGAAAGCAACTGCAAAGGGTGCCTGGCTTGCCATCTCTTGGAGAATGCAGCTGCCCTGAACCCCCAGTAACAACAGGCATCTGAACCAGTCTGCGTTGGGAGCCTTCAAGTGTAGAGTCTCTATGCCCTCCCTTCTTCCACTGCTGGCTCAAGCTTCGCCACGGAGGCTTGGGAGCTGGCTTATGCTCTTGCCCCTCCAGCGGGAGAGCATTTGGACCCTATTCCAGAGTCTCTGTGCTATTGACAGAATTTGGCCTGTTCAGTGCCCACTGCAGCTGCTTTCCTTCCACACACTGCACCAAGGAAAGTTTGTTTCATGGTGGTGATTCTTTTTTTGACAAGGAGGGAGGATGACTTTACAGCTCTCTTGGGTTTCTGTTGTCTCACCAAAGGCAGAGATGGCCTTTCCTCCCCTTGGCGGCAGCGCTGAGTAATAGTCTAATATTGCACACAAAGGTGAAGACAACAAAGGCCAGCGTGAAACATGACACAGGGCTTTTCTTCGTTCCTCTAGCAGCTAATTTAGTTGATTTAAAAGGGGCTTGGTGGGTGGGAAAGTTTGTCGCGGGAGGGGGAGAGACTTTAAGAGGCAGACGGCTTAGCCTGGAATAGGAGCACAAAGTCACTGCAGGCAGAGTTAAACCCGGCACCCACCCAGGAGGAACTCTCTGCAGAAGAAGCCAATGTCCAGATGGTTGCACTGGGTGTAATTGGACACCCCCAAACTGACCCCAAAATCTTCAGGGGATTATTAACACCCCTCTCCACATTTGCACACAGAGCCATAGCTTTGGAATGCATGAAATAAGAGTAAATTCTCACCGAGCATGTGCAGAGTGTCTGAGTAATTGCGCTTCCAAGTCATCTACTGTGATGGGCTGGCTGGATGCAGAGGAATGGTGGGAGGCACCAGCTGGGGAACCCCCAACAGAAGAAGGCTCAGAGCCTGGAGAGTGGTGGTGGGACGACCATGAGTGGTCAGAGGGAGAAGACTGGGGGGAGGAGGTGTCGGAAGCTGAAGAGGCAACAGGGTTTAGTGAGCAGGGAGAGGCTGTGGCAGAAAGAAGTGCAGAAGCAGAAGTGGAAGCAGAAGAGGAGAGAGGCCAAGAGGTAGAGATCAGGCAGGCTGTTGAGGAACCCAGGGGGTCTCTCCCTCCTACTGCAACCAACTCCTCTTCCCCCTGGTCTCCCAGAACCTGAGAAGGTATGAAGAGGGCAGAGTAAAGACAGGCAAGGTGATACAGCTTCAGCTTGCTTGAGAAGGAACCTGGGGTGGAGGAGATTTAGAGAGCGGTGGGAAGGCAGAGATCTTCAGTCCTCGCAACTGCCTCATAGGGGCAAGTTCTACCAGGAAGAGTTGCTGTGCTCACTAGGCCTGGCCTCCTGGGCTGTCTTGTTGCTTTGAATAGTTAAGTTCACAGAAGCCATGTGAGTTATTGCTGACCTGCTCCTGGCACCATCCTCTGTCATCTGAGGGCGTAGCTTCAACTAGGTTTCAATGAGAGCACAGCTTCTCCTGTTTGGACTCATTGGTCTCCCCAAGGTATTGCCTGCCTGACAAATTTTCGGAAGCACTTGCTGCCACATGGATTGGGGCTACCCCACTGTGTGTTGCTGGTTGCCTGCTGGCTGGTGGAGGATGGGAAACAGGCCACATGATGGCTCCCATCCTTGTGACAAGTGACTGTGCAGAGGGACGATGCTCATCCTTTTCCAGCACCAACTGAATCTCCATGCTGGGACAAGGTTCATCTGCTCCATTTCTCTTTCAGTCAGACTGAAGGTACAGGAGCAGGACCCATGAAAAAAGGTGGCAACCCTCATTCACTGCTCCCTATCAGCTACGAGGGAGCAACAGGGAGTATTTATCTAAACAGACAGATCCTGGGATTTGTTGTTGTTTAGTCGTTTAGTCGTGTCCGACTCTTCGTGACCCCCTGGACCAGAGCACGCCAGGCACTCCTGTCTTCCACTGTCTCCCGCAGTTTGGTCAGACTCATGTCTGTAGCTTCGAGAACACTGTCCAACCATCTCGTCCTCTGTCGTCCCCTTCTCCTTGTGCCCTCCATCTTTCCCAACATCAGGGTCTTTTCCAGGGAGTCTTCTCTTCTCATGAGGTGGCCAAAGTATTGGAGTCTCAGCTTCAGGATCTGTCCTTCCAATGAGCACTCAGGGCTGATTTCCTTAAGAATGGATACGTTTGATCTTCTTGCAGTCCATGGGACTCTCAAGAGTCTCCTCCAGCACCATAATTCAAAAGCATCAATTCTTCGGCGATCAGCCTTCTTTATGGTCCAGCTCTCACTTCCATACATCACGACTGGGAAAACCATGGCTTTAACTATACGGACCTTTGTTGGACCTGGGATTTACTGCTCCCCAAAAGCCCACTCACCCAATCTCCATCGGTTGGCTAGTTAGTGGGGCACTTTGCCTGGGGTCAGAAATTCAGAGAATCATAAAATTGTAGAGTTGGAAGGGACCACGAGGGTCCAGTTCCTTATAATGCAGGGATCTTTTCCTCTCAACCCTGAGATTAAGAGCTTCATGCTTCAACAGAGGCCTTGCAATTTTTGAAAGTGAAATCCTGGACTTGAGAAGAAAGGGGTGTTCTGATCCATGGGACCTTATATTAGGTCTTATTCTCCCATTGTTTGCACATGTCAAGCATTAATGTGTTCTGGAGCTGATACCTTGGCTTGAATGCTTTGCTTTTGGGGGGAGGACAGTGGGAGAGCATGTTATTCGCCTTGCCCCCCTTCCAGATAGGCCTGTCAGAAACCTCAGAGAGCTGTTCTGTGCACAAGAGGGAGCTTGATGAACTTATGGTCTTCCTCACTAAGAGGTAGCTTTTTGTGCTCTGATGCTGTTCTGCTGAAGGGGCTTCCAGGGAGTAAGGCGCACCCGCCCTGCATAGGGACCCTCTGTTGCAATGCTGATCCGTTTCATTAGGACCATTCTGTGGCTTACTTAGCATCCCTGTTAATCCCTCCCGGCTGCAACCATATTTCACTGAGCACATGTGAAAGCCCACTCTAAAAATGCCAAGGAGAATCCAAATGAGAACCACAAATGTTATTGATGCTTTTCTACAACATGTTAAAGTCGGATCATTTTCACTGCTGGGGCTTTCCAAGGTTTATATGGAAACAGTAAAACTTTCAACGTTGCCTGCTCAGTTTCCGAGCACAGGAGGCCCCCAACTCCGGAAAGATCAATGTTTAGGCAAAGTGGGCCATTTTTGTCAAACTTCGTTATTCTGGTATCACAAACGCTGGTTTTATAGCAGGCGTTGGGCGGGCGGGAAACTCTGGGATGTGACTCTCCACATTCCGACTTTAATCTCCATCCTCTGTGTAAAACATTTGCCAAAAGGAGGGTCTAATAAACAGGTCTGTAAAATTCTGCCGTGATTGCAAATGCTGAATACAGGAAGGTGTTGAAAAAGGGCAGCTCTTTCAGAGTCCAGTCGCAGTTTGGAGTTTGGGAAGCCTGTGCGCAAAAGAAAACTCTTAGGTGAGGAGGGAAGACCTGGCCATTTGAGTCTGATCAAATTAATTAGTGCCTTCGCAGGTCCTGATTTAGAAACTGGGTTTCCCCTCACAGTTTTGGCCTCTCATCCTCAGGCACAAGGCAGGGCAGGGACGCTAAGAGGCCAAGATGTGTGGACTTGAGCCAAACCTGGTGGAACCACCATGTAAATGGGGTGGAAATGTTGACAGGCTGCCTGAAAGGAAAACGAACCAACAGTGAACAGAGGCCACTGCAGGGCGACAAAAGTCACAGGCAAATGGCTCTGCCCAATATGGACTGATTTTTTGGCTCATTTGCTAGGGTGCTTCCACCATGCTGGGCATTTCAGGTGGCACTACCAAGCCTCGTTCACTCGCTCTTTTTACATCCTGCATTTCCTCCATGGCGGCTCTGTTTCCCCCTCAGGATTCAGTTGTATACTGGCAAATTTAGGTTGCACAATAAAAGTGGGTTGGGCTTTCTTGTGCAACCAGCCCAAATCGGAACTCTTTGCGGTAAATAAAGTGAAGGAGGAAGTGCCCAGGAAACAGGGGGTCACAATTGCTCAATGCAACACTGTGTAACCTTCTTGCAAACAAGTTAAGAACTAATGCTGACATCGCAGGATCTCCCTGAAGGTTTTGTGAAAACAAATCAGGGTGAATGCTCACTAAAGAGGTTCTCTGGAAGAGCCCCCAGATCAGAGAAAGTCCGACAGATGCCTTTTGCACCATTCTCCTATCCTGGCTTTTTAAAAGGGTGGGGGTTCTGACATGGGTAGTACTCTACTGGGGAAAGTGAACAGCTCAGCACAATTCAAATATAGTCTTTGTCGTGGTGGACAGAATCTGATGACCCCATTTTTAAAAAAATCTATATTTTCAATTATCTCAAAAACTTTACTTAAAAACAAAACAAAATGAAAGATTGTTGTTGTTTAGTCATGTCCGACTCTTCGTGACCCCATGGACCAGAGCACGCCAGGCACTCCTGTCTTCCACTGCCTCCCGCAGTTTGGTCAAACTCATGCTGGTAGCTTCGAGAACACTGTCCAGCCATCTCGTCCTCTGTCGTCCCCTTCTCCTTGTGCCCTCCATCTTTCCCAGCATCAGGGTCTTTTCCAGGGAGTCTTCGCTTCTCATGAGGTGGCCAAAGTATTGGAGCCTCAGCTTCACGATCTGTCCTTCCAGTGGGCACTCAGGGCTAATTTCCTTAAGAATGGAGAGGTTTGTTCTTCTTGCAGTCCATGGGACTTTCAAGAGTCTCCTCCAGCACCATAATTCAAAAGCATCAATTCTTCAGTGATCAGCCTTCTTTATGGTCCAGCTCTCACTTCCATACATCACGACTGGGAAAACAATAGCTTTTACTATATGGACCTTTGTTGGCAAGGTGATGTTTCTGCTTTTTAAGATGCTGTCTAGGTTTGCATTGCTTTTCTCCCAGGAAGCAGGCGTCTTTTAATTTCGTGACTGCTGTCACCATCTGCAGTGATCATGGAGCCCAAGAAAGTAAAATCTCTCACTGCCTCCATTTCTTTCCCTTCTATTTGCCAGGAGGTGATGGGCCCAGTGACCATGATCTTAGTTTTTTTGATGCTGAGCTTCAGAACATATTTTGCGCTCTCCTCTTTCACCCTCATTAAAAGGTTCTTTAATTCCTCCTCACTTTCTGCCATCAAGGTTGTGTCATCTGCATATCTGAGGTTGTTGATATTTCTTCCGGCAATCTTAATTCTGGCTTGGGATTCATCCAGCCCAGCCTTTCGCATGATGAAGTCTGCATATAAGTTAAATAAGCAGGGAGACAATATACAGCCTTGTCGTACTCCTTTCCAAATTTTGAACCAATCAGTTGTTCCATATCCCGTTCTAACTGTAGCTTCTTGTCCCACATAGAGATTTCTCAGGAGACAGATGAGGTGATCAGGCACTCCCATTTCTTTAAGAACTTGCCATAGTTTGCTGTGGTCGACACAGTCAAAGGCTTTTGTATAGTCAATGAAGCAGAAGTAGATGTCTTTCTGGAACTCTCTAGCTTTCTCCATAATCCAGCGCATGTTTGCAATTTGGTCTCTGGTTCCCCTGCCCTTAAAGTCCTATAGCACTAACTCTTTCTGTCATGGGGGTTTGGGGCAAAGCCAGAAAAATGTTCTAGCACTAATTAAAAGATCATTTTAAAAAAAACTGATGAGATTATAAAATGGCACCCATCCAGAGGCGAAACTAGGTGTTATTTCACCCGGGTCAAAGACCCAGTTTGGTATCCCCCGCTATGTGCATTTGCGCACAAACACACACAGGCTGGGAGCCTCAATGGCGCCCTTCTGGAGTCTTCACCTAGGGCAAAAACCCTGGCTAGCTCCCCACCCCAATAGCAATGGCACTGCACCCACCACAAGGTTTATAATGAGTATGTGCTGCACTACAAACAACACCCACACCAGCTACATTGCATCCACTCATGTGGCTGGCAAACAGCCATGTGGGCATTTGGGGGGCAGGAAACCCAGAATCCTCTCTTCCTGGTAGTGTGGAAGGTCATCTGCAATGTTGATAATACAGTGGAAGAGTCATGATTAACTAATGCTGGGAACCACTCACCTGCAAGCAGTACCCTCGGGTCCCCCTCGGCGTGTCGGGAGATGGGCCTTGCCTCAGTGGCAGCAGAACCGCCATGCTTCATGCGGAAGGCCACAGGTTGGTGACCTCTCAGTGTTCTTGGACTCCAACTCCCATCAGCCCTAGACAGCACTGCCATGCTGCAAGCTGCAGAAGGTATGGAGGACACGCCAGGATGGAGAAGGATGAAGGAGACAGCCATGGGCTAAGACCAGACAGGGTCTAACACAAGGCATTTCACTGGGGATCTCACAACAGAGATGTTTTGTTTGAGCTGGATTCAGCCAGTTGTTTTTTGAAGTCACATTTCGAAAGCAGCTCCTGAGATTCCCCCCTTTTTCAGAATGTTTTCTTTTTCGCAGGACTGGCCCTTCTGTTGACTTCTTAAAAAATCCAAGTTTCCTTTCTTTTTCGGGGGGGTGGGGGGGTTCAGTTCTCAACATTGCAAAATAAGAAGGTGGCTGGCTGACACATCAACCATCTTTCCTGTTGTCTCAGGAACAGGAAAGGAAGTGAAAATAATCCCCAAATCGTTGTTTCTTGTAATTTGGGAGGCCTTTGTGCTGTTCCAGGAAGAGACTTCAGCTTGCCCAGTTCCCAGATGAGATTATCTGAGCAGAATAGGTTCTGTGTGCCCACTGCTCAAAACCTGATAATGATGTGTGATCTGAGCAGATGTGTTAAAAGGGATCTCCCTGGTTTCTGCAGAATTAGGGCTTCCAAGTTGCACAAGCGGGGGTTATTGCACGCACAAAAAGTCAGCCCCCTCTGTCTAGCTAGAATGTTTTCTTTCTGTCTCATCGTCTGTGCCTTTTACTAATTAGCCAATCTTTTCCTCTCTCTCCTTCTCCTCTTTCCTGTCCCTACTGCTTCTTATCGGGCTCCTCCTTGCTCCCACTTCACTGATAACGGGCCTATCTTTATTAGTCTCCTTCCAGGGCCTTGGAAACATCACATGGAGCAAAAGCAAATCCCCAGCTGGTCAGTCTGGAGCTCTGCACTGATCTGTCTTCCTCCCACTCATCCCACCCCGTTTTGTGGAGCAAACGGAACAGGGTGAAGAAATTCAGCAAGCTAGAGAAGGGGCTTGTTTCTAATCAAAGTCAAGTTGAAAACTATGTTTAGAAACCAGGATGCTTTCTGGATTCATCCCTTTATTATGACCAGATGTTTGCACAGATGCCTCCCCAAAATGCAACCAGCCCCAGTAAATCTTGATGTGTCCTTTGCCAGCCTTAGCTGCGGACTCCTGGCGTACCGGGCGAGTGACACATCCAAAGCCAGTGGGGAACTCCGGGAACCCCTAAACGCTGCTGTGAGAGGTACTAGTGTGGAACTACAAGACAGCAAGGAAAGAAAGAATCAAAGGCTCCTGTGTGCCCAAACAGAGAGAGGAGGAGGCTGCCCGCTATAGCTCTCCATGAAATTCATTGTTTGCGCCTTGCTCTCCCTCCAACTAGTCTTTGCTGGCGGAGGTGATGTTGCATTGGGTCTGATTGGATCACTCATTTTTCCCAATGGGGACAAGAGACTTGCTCACTGAGAAGGAGGTTGCCTGTTGCATCTCTGTATGTGTTTCTGGTCACAACAGTAGCGGAGTGTGTCCATGCCGCCCGTGTGTGTGTGGCTGGGTGCACACTCGTGCCCTTGCTGGGGGTGGGCTGAGGGGCGGAAGACAAATGGAGTCCACTGTGCCTGCCCAACCCCCTTGGCACTGATCCAGCAGTTTCTTCTGATGGACTTAGCCCTGGTGATCCTATACCCTGCTGCTCTTTTGGGGTTCCCTGGAAAATCCCTGACCCAGTTTTGCTTTTCAGGGAGACTGGAGGGAAGGGGGTTTCTCAAAATGTTGTTAAGTGTGCATATATATGTATTGTACATTGTTTGTCACGTTTCAGCACACCCACCCTCCAGCCTTTGCAGGTTAAGAGTAAGGAAGAGGATACCCTTTGCCTCTAGGGCCCAGACCTGGACACCAAATTCCCCCTTTTCCTGCTTGTCTTCCTTCAGTCCCTCTAGAATCTGTCTATCCAGAGTGCAAATGCTGCTGAATCTGGCAGCTGTCCTGATACGTGCATGCGGATTGAGTGTGAGAATAAACAGCTTATTAAACTTTCATAAGTTTTATATATTATATGATGAAAGGAAGCCGTTATGGCTAATTTGCTAACACAAAACTGCTTCCGCTGTCAGCTGTTGCAAAGTTAGTGAATCAGTTGTGGGCACCCAGCCACAAAGAGCTTTCATTTAGCAGTGGGAACTGAGCCCAAACTGGAGCTAAATTCATGTAAGCACCCCCCCCCCGAGTTCTCTGTACACATTGGGAGCCGTGGTTGGTGAAGCAGGGGAAACCAGTGAGGATCAGGACCCCACTCACATTATAGTTAGCATTTGCCAAAAATGTAAAGAGGTGGGAGACCCAGTTTTTGATCCACTTGAGCCTGCCCAGTGTGTTCCCTTGTAGGAGTTAAAGGGAATTAGATAAATTCATGGAAGAGGATAAGGCTACCCATAGCTATTAGTCACAAGGGCTACCCGGAACCTCCATATTCAGAGGAAGTCTACGTATGGCAAGCTACTGCCTTCAAGCCCTGCTAGTGGACTTCCTGGAAGTGTTTGATTAGTCACTGTGGGCAAAAGAAAACTAGATGGATCCTTGGTCTGATTTGGCAGGGTTCTGGCTCTGGGGAGGCCCCCCCCAAAAAAAATTCAGTGTAGAGAAGCTGCCAGCTGGGCTGGCTGTTGGGGTGCATCTAAGTACTGAGATGGGATTGTATCCTGCACTGCACCATAGGGAGGTAGAGAAGGCTAGCTCAGAGGGTACACGACAGGTGTTGTGGCAGCCATAGCTCTGTCTGCTCCACACACACCCCTCAGCATCTGCCACCTGAGGCAGCTGTCTCACAGCGTCTAATGGTAGGGCAGTCCCAGGCTCCCCTTATGTCCCTCTCACCACTGCTGGAATGCATCACCACGCAGAGGGGAGAGGCAATAGGGTCTGTTCTGTGGGGCACTCTAAGTTCAGGTGAGGCAACAAGGAAAGCAAGCAGCATCACCCTGGCATGCACTGCAATCTGACTGTGAACCCTGGAAGAAGCTCCTCAGAGCCTCTTCTGCAAGATTTGAACTTGGTGGCAGATGAACGTGGACCTTTTAGCTAGGGAGTTGATGCAGAATGATAAGCACCCAAAAGGAAGCTATTCTGCGAGCCCAGGGGGAGCAAGCTTGTTTTCTCCTGTTCCAGAGGGTAGGACCCGAACCAATGGATTCAAATTACAAGAAAGGGGGCTCTGACTAAACATTAGGAACACTGGTGCCACCTCCAGGGGGCCCTGGGGGCCTGGGCACCCTCAAAACTTTTGCTGTGGGTGCCCTGCCTCTGCCCCCCCTCACATGCTGCCCCTGCACTTTGCTGCCTTATCTCTGGCGCTCTGGCACCACGGCAGCAACTGGGCCGGGGCCTGCGCTTCTGCTGTGGCCATGGACATGCTTCTGGGGTGTGTCTGTGGTGCAGGCCCCAGCTCAGTTGCCGATGTGGCATTGGAGCATGCACATGCGCCGCACCTCAAGGTTCATGGCACCCACACTGTGGGGTCAAAGCAGCACCGCTGAAGGAAGAACTTAATGACAGTGAGCATTGCTCAACAGTGGGACAGGCTACCTGGGAAGATGGTGGACTCTTCTTCTTTGGAAGTTTCTGAACAGAAGTTGAATGGCCATCTCTCACGGATGCCTTAGCTGTCAATCCTGCATTGCAGAGGGTGGACTAATGACCCTTGGGTCCCTCTCAACCCCACAATTCTATGGTTCTGTGATCCATTCATTTAGTACACAGCAAATGAATTGGTGCTTCCAAAGTTCCCAGGTTGAATGTTCTCCAGTAATGCTTTGGTAGCTTTAAAAAATATATAGTCCCACCCATCAAAGCTGTCTCAACCTCTTCCCCCTTGGATTTTCTTTTCCTTTTGTGTGGCTTGCCTGGCCCAAGTGCTTTTGAGAGTAACCAGGCTCCTCTCTTTCAGACGGAGATTATTTCACCTTTACAAGACATGAGCCCATCGGTGTGTGTGGACAGATCATCCCTGTGAGTATCTGTGCTCGCACCTCATATTTATTTTCACTGGAATGAGCTCCCTTGAAAAGGCCCATAAGCCCCAGGCTTCAGCAAGGCGTGTTTTTCATTATGGGAGACCGGGCAATGGGGTGAGGGGGGAGGCAGGCGGAACTGAGCGCACATTGTTGACATATCTTTAACAGCCGCCCTACCAGTGCTTATTTGCACATCCTAATAGAGTTTTAGAGCTGCAGTATTAGGGAGGTGAGGCCTCCAGTCACAGAATTCCCAGGACTGGAGAGAGCAAAGCAAAACACGGCATTAGCATCAGGCGGCTGTCAGCCAATTGAGATGTTTGCACAATGGGGAGGAAGTGGAGCCCCCCCCTTTTCAATCCAGCAGGATCTTTTTATCTCTCCTGTTCCAAACTGCAGCGTAACTGGGATCCAGGAAGGATAATTTTCAGGTTCTTCATCTTTTTCCTTCTTGCCCTAAACAGGGCAGAAAACTCCACAATATAATATACAGTGGTACCTCGGGTTAAGTACTTAATTCGTTCTGGAGGTCTGTTCTTAACCTGAAACTGTTCTTAACCTGAAGCACCACTTTAGCTAATGGGGCATCCTGCTGCCGCCGTGCCGCCGGAGCCCAATTTCTGTTCTTATCCTGAAGCAAAGTTCTTAACCTGAAGCACTATTTCTGGGTTAGTGGAGTGTGTAACCTGAAGCGTATGTAACCTGAAGTGTATGTAACCCAAAGTACCACTGTACTTCCCTAGAACTGGTCCCTTCCATTGGGCAAAAGGGGCTATTGAGGAGTGCCCCCATCAGAGAGGGCCCCTGGTGTCCCCCTTCCAGCAGGAGATGGCTATAACATCTTCTTCTCATCTGGATTACCCTTCCACTGCTAGATCCAGCTCAGTCCAGCCGTTTTGCTAGGCAGGGGTAGGGCAACCGTGTCTTTCCAACCAGACCTCCACCAACTAGTCTGTCAGATTTATTGTTGGTCTGGAAGGGCAGGTGCAAAGATGCATATGTCCCTGACTAACACAGAGCAGCTTCCATTGTGTGACAGAAAGAACAGCTTCCCCCCTGGGCAGTTTTGCATCTGATGCCCCTGGCTGATGTGCCTACTCCTGATGCAGAGACATCTAGCTGGTCTCCCAGGGAAAATTGGATTCAAAGCTTCAGACTCAGAGCAGGAAAAGAGGAAACACAAAGGCCACAGACTTCCATCACATCTATTGCATGATTGGGGTGGTGGGGAAATAATAATAATAATTATAATAGTAGTAGTAGTAGTAGTAATAGTAATAATAATTATTTATTTATACCCCGTCCATCTGGCTGGGTTTCTTCAGCCACTCTGGGCAGCTTCCAACAGAACACTAAAATACAATAACCTATTAAATATTAAAAGCTTCCCTAAACAGGGCTGCCTTCAGATGTCTTCTAAAAGTTTGGTAGTTATTTTTCTCTTTGACATCTGGTGGGAGGGCGTTCCACAGGGCGGGTGCCACTACCGAGAAGGCCCTCTGCCTGGTTCCCTGTAACTGGAAAGTGCATAATCCAGTATAGCTTCATGTTGCAGAGAGCATCTCTGCTATATCCACCAGCTTCAGGGCCCCACAGAGTTCAAAGGATTGGCTGGAGAGATGGTGCTACTCAAGCCAAGGTCTGCATCCCTACAAGAAGTCCATCATGTCCCCCATTAAAGGGGTACAACAGTGTACCAGCTCCCCTCTTGATTTGGAATGGCTTCTCACTGTTAAAACCAGAGAGTCCCTGTAGAAGCATTCAAACTGTAATCTGCTGCTACAAAACCCCACAGACTTAATGAGCATTTTAAAACAAACGTTTGCAAGTTGCTCGGAAACTGCCAAGGTCAACCCAGAGTCCTGAAGCCCAGTGCCAGCTCTGATTAAAATCAGCACAGCTAAGCCTTCTAATCTGTGTTTGTACAGGACTGCACAGCAATAGGGGTCCTAGTGACACCCCCTACCAGTGGTGTTTAAATAAGTTATCATTCAAATAGTTAGCCAAAATATCCCCAGTAGTAGTTCTGACGAATATCAGAGCCTCGTGTATTTTAGTGCCTGTTTGAAAAGAGCAGAAGAACCAACAGATGGAATTTGCTATCACAAGAGTGATGATGGACCCCTTGCCACAGAGCCATGAGCCACGGGCGAGAAGGAGATCAGTGGCTGTTAGTCATGAGTGCTAAAGGGAGCCCCATGTTCAGAGGCAGTGGGGTGGGCGTAGGGTTTATGGCCCTCATGCCTTGCACAGTTGGCCACTATTGGAAACACAGTACTAGGCTAGAGGAACGTGGTCTACACCTGCAAAGCCTCACTTAGGAAGTTTGGCTTTGATTTTTGATTTTTCTGTGTACATTTAATTGTGGGATGTTGTATGTGGAGCACACAATAGTTACAGTAGATGTAAAGTATTCAAGGACATCAGTTGGCCAAGCCCAGTTTTAGGAAGATTGCTTTTCATTTTTTAAACAATGATTATGATGCCGCTGCTTTTGTATTCTGGTCAAACCAGAGGCATTCCAGGCTGCAGAAGTGGAACGACACATTGGCACTTCATGATTACTGTGCTTAATATGAGTACAGTTCACCTACAGAGCACTTATAGTTTTTCTAAGCACAATCTAACAGACATGATACAAAAGGGAAAAAGGACCAGGGAGGGAAGAGGAAAGCAAACACTGGAGCAGGTTGATGTTGCTCTAATGTTCTCCACCTTGTTCTTTAAAATGGACTAAATAAGTAAATAAATATCACTGGTGGACTGATAAGCTAAAACCGCCTTTGGCAACCCTTTTGCCCTACAGAGGACTCGAGCAGCTAGGATTTCTTGGGTCATGTGGCTGCCTTAGTAATAATGGCTGCATTCTTTCCTACAGTGGAATTTCCCCCTGCTGATGTTTGCGTGGAAGATTGCACCTGCTCTCTGCTGCGGCAACACCATCGTCATCAAGCCGGCAGAGCAAACGCCGCTGACCGCGCTCCACATGGGAGCCCTCATCAAGGAGGTGAGCAGAGCAGCGGGGTCAGAGCCGGGCTTTCTTTGAGCCAGGCCTTGCCGGAACTCAGTTCTGCAACTCAGTTGTAAGAGAGCAAGGGAGGTGTTCATGGTGAGTTCTGGCACCTCTTTTTCTAGATAAATAACACTGAGTCAGAGGATGCATCCAGGGAGCTGCCCAGCTTGGCTTGTGTGTGGTCCATTCGCCCTAAACAGCTTGCCCCTCCCCCTTCTCTCTCTTTGTTGTTGCAACAGGCTGGGTTTCCACCTGGAGTGGTCAATATCGTGCCAGGATTTGGACCCACCACTGGCGCAGCGATTGCTTCTCACGTGGGGATTGATAAGATTGCCTTCACTGGATCCACCGAGGTAAGTGGGTGCTCTAGAGGGTGTTTGGCTCCACCTCAGAAGGAAATGGTACACCCAACAAGGCATGCTGGTGCCTGCGGTGGAGATTCGCTTTCCCAGTTAAGGCCAGGGCAGAGCATCACCTCCAGGAAGTCCTTGCTGAACTGCCTGGGAGATGTGCCACAGGCCTGCCCATTTCAGTGGGGCTTTGCAGAAGTCCTTACCCATCAGCCTCTGGAGGTCTGGCGTGCTCCACTTTCCCCAAAGGCCCTGAAGAAGAGTCCTTTGCCTGAGAGGGTCTTTACAGAGGTGGAGTTTCTCTTGGTTGATGTGGTTTTTAATGGAACTCTTGTTTGGTTTGAAGAGGCAGATAAATGTGGCTGCAGGCCATGTGCTTTCCTAGAGAGGATTTCAGGTGTTTCCTTTGTTTAGTGTTGCTGTTGTGTTTTGAACTTTAATACATCGGCCACCTCGAAAGAGTGCTCCTTGGAAAGGCAGCATACAAAAGTAAAATTAAAATAAAAAGAATGAAGATAAGCTTGTCCCTGGACTGTGCCCAAGGTGGGGCCCCTTCACCATAGACCCCGCAAAGGCTCCCTCAGATGGCTGCTACCTGTTGACACCAATATTGGAGCATTCTGGAGAGTCTGGTAAAGACAGAGTCAGGTTCCATTGACAGATTTTGTAGCTGTATGTGGCCTATATTTCAGTTAAAGAGACTCTCATGCAGGATGCACTCCTGATTGCGGGACGAAAAATACAGATGGATTTGGTTTCAGAATTGTCTCTTGTAGCCAAAATAAATTTTTAGCGTCATTCCAGCGGGCTTTCATTTCTAATAGGCGTTTAAACTCAAAATGCTGTGGATTTTGTCCTAACTCAATACCTGCCTTTAAGAGCCTTACTAATAGGAAGTGAAAAGCGTTACAGAGATGAAAAAAAGCAATTCTCTAAGAACCTAAAGTGGGAACAGCTGGAACATTTTAATGTAACGCGAGTGTAAACTGTTCCATATTGTTTTTTATTTCCTGTTCTGTGGAATTCTTGTAACAGCAAGTTGATGTAGTAACACTTTGAAACCAGTCTTGTAAGATCAGCTGTTCTGCAGAGCATTGGGCTTCTCAGAACTAATGAAGGCTGCCTGGCTTTGTTAACATAAAGGTGGAAATGGTTTGTTTTCTCCTGCTTGTATCCATTGAATATCTCTCGCACAACCTGAAGACTGGGTTTACTCCTGCTTTCAAAATTTATATGCCACCACTTCCAGGAACTGGGAGCAGCGAGTGATAGTTTAGGGAAATTAAAAGAGGTCTTGTTAACAGGCAATAGAAAGGTTGGCAAAGTTTGCTAGATTCAGACCCATAGACAAGCTTCCTGGTAAGGTCTGCCTCAAATTTCTGAAATCTTTTCTGGCTTGGCTTTTCATCCACGCTGGGGAAGACATCTCAGCCCCCAAACGGCTGGTGGGGGCAAACAGCACTCTGCCACTGAAGACCTTAGTGTGGAACCACAGGGTTTGCAGCTTGGGCTCCCAGGTGCCAGTCACTACTTCTTTTCATGAATGCACACAGATTTATTTGTTTCCAGTACAGTTATACCTCGGGTTACGAATGCTGCGGGCAGCGGCGCAGCGTGGGTTGTCAGCACCCGGGGCAAGGCAAGTAATTTGCGCCCCCTAACCCCTAACCTGCCACCGCTGCCAGCTTCTTCTTGCTGCTGCCTGGGCTGGTCTGGTGTGGTTCTCTCCCGCGCTCAGCGCTGCGCTGGGCGGCCGCTGCACTGTCCCTCCCCCAGATAGTCCCTCGCTCTCTCTCCGCACCGCACGCCTGGCACCCACCCCTCCACAGTGGGCGGCGACCCAGCGGCTCGGATCGGATTCGCACAGCCAGCACTGCAGTGAGAGAGAGTGAGTGAGCCAGGTAGGGGCAGAGAGCTGCGAGTGCGAGCGCCCCCCCCCCGATGTTGCGCCCGGTGCGGCCAGCCCCCCCTGCACCCCCCACGCTACGCCACTGGCTGCGGGTTGTGTGTTTTCGGGTTGTGGACCGTGCTGAACCCAGAAGTACCGGAATGGGTTACTTCTGGGTTTTCGTGCTTGCACAGAAGTGCAAAATGACATCACACGCATGTGCAGAAGCACGAATCGCGTCACGCGCGTGCGCAGACGCGGTGCTGCGGGTTGCGAATGTGCCTCCCACACGGATCACTTTCGCAACCGGAGGTATGACTGTATTTGTGTACCGCTGTTTAACAATAAGTCCTCAGAGCAGGATGATAGTCGGGGCTAGAGCTGGAGGTCAGGGTCACTGAGTGGGGGATAGCAAGCCTGTCATCTTTTGTGATATCTAAGCCAGGCATGTCCAACAACTAAGAGACTGCAATCTACTCCCTCTATAAAAAATTGACAGTGGATTGGATTGACCAAAGTTGCTGAGCTTTTTTTCGGGTGTGGGGGCGATCAGGATCATGTAAACGACCAGGACTGACCAAGGACGCCCCACAATTGATCGGTAGATCGCAATCAACCTGTCGGACATCCCTGATCTCAGCTGTCTAATATAATTTGTGCGCATCTGTGCAATACCCATTCACATGAACAATACAGAGACCCATGTGCTCTAATGGGATTCTTGTATATATAATTGTTTTTTTAAAAATCTACTTATTTCTTTTTAAACCTCCTAACTGTTTCTCCAAAGGGACTGACTACAGCTAACAATTAGCAATAAAAACAGAGCAACACTAATGTATGCACTATTGGCTTTTAAAAGATGTAAAAAAATACATTAAAATTAATAGGACAAGCAACTAATCCAGCCCTCTTTGACAATTTCAAGCAACACAAAAATAGCAAAAAGTACACAACTAAAGACCCTTTTGAAAAGCCAGGTCTTTGCCAACTGCCTGAAACTGTGAAGGAACTTGCTCTACAAGCTGTTTCATAGAGGAGGTGCCACAACAAGGAAGGCCCCGTCCTTAGTGAACACTAGCTTCACCACCTAAGATGGAGGGATTAGGAACAGGGGCCCATCTGAGTACTGGAGTTTGCAGGGAGAAACGTACAGAAAAGTGGGGACTTGAGGCCCATGGAAGTCTTTCATCTGTGCCACCCAATTCTATATCTGTTACTCAGAAGAAGTTTCTGGTAAACACAGACCAGCTCACTCCCAGACAAGTGCCTGTAGGATCTCAGTCTTTGCTGATAAATCACATGCGTTTAGGAAGAAGAGTTTTCAGCCCTGCTGCTTGTAAAACAACATGGCCGTTGCCAGCTAACTTTTTTTTGGTCATCCTACAACTCCTGAATAATGACTGTTTGGGGGGGGGGGAGATTGGGAGATGGACCATATGTCAGATCTTTGTGGAGCCTTTGATGTGCTCTCCCCATCCCAGCACCCCGCCTCTTTTCCCATTCACGGCTCACCTCTCCCAGGTGGGGATGCAGCGGGGCGACGGTCCCCCCCAGCCTGCAGGCAGGCAACTTCTTACACGAACCCGCCCGTCATGGATCGCTTCTCTGCACAATCCCCCATCGCTTGTGTTTCATGCTGCCATGGCTCATTAGGGACAGCTCTGCAAAAACGCTGGGTTTCTGTAAGCACCAAGGCTGAGGCCCAAATGCTGTCTTTGGGAGAAAGCAAAGCAAAATGTGTGCTCCACACTCCATGCTTTCCCCCCCGCTGAGCCTCAGATCAGTCACAGAGCCCTCAGAAGTAGAAGAAACGGGTGTGGAGAAAGAAGGACGTTTTTCTCCTTCTCTCCATAGTGCAAGAACTAAATGGGATCGTTCCATGAAGCTGAATGGTGGAAGATTCGGGACAGTCTAAAGGAGGGACTTCTCTGCACATCTCAGAGTTAAATGATGACATTCACTCTTGCAAGGTGTACAATGGCTACCAACTTGGACTTTTTTTCTAAAAGGGAATTGGACCAATCCATGGAGCATAACGCTCTCAGTGGCTACTAGCCCAAATGGCTAGTATGGCCTGCTGTGGCTGTGGCTGTAGAGACCGATGTGGGAGAGACATGGTTTTTTGCAACTGGGGCAGATAAAGGCATCTGGTTGTGCCTGTGCAGATGCACCATGGGATTTTTTCTTTGTGTGCTCCTCCCAGAGGTCATTTCTCCTTTGGTCACTGCTGTGGATACACAAGCAGACTGATTATCTCCAGGTGCTGCGGTTATCTGCATGGCACATGGCACGATCAATGTTGCCATCCTTCATGTCATGTTTGCATCCTCCATGTCATGTTGGCCTGCCAATGGGCCTGGTGCCTGAAGCCAGCTCCCCTCAGAGCACGTCCTTGGATATCTTTACTGCTTCATCAGCATCTCCAAAAATCTCTTTCCCCTACTTCCGGGCAAACACTTAGCTCTGGGGTGCTATCGCGCTGGCCTTGGGAAGTGAACAGGTAGTGGTATTCTTGTGGCTGCTTGACTGTTTTCATCCCTTGTATGGCTTCACTTGCCTTCCTACCTCTCTGCCCCTTGTTAAATGAGCATCCAGTTATCAAGGATGAAGAGAAAGCAGAATACAGGCAATGTAATGTCAGTGAACCCTCAGGCAACAAACCAAATGGAATCTCAGGTCTGGGAACAACTTTAGAAGTGTCTGGATGGGGCTCTATGCCAGTCCCAATAGCCAGATGCCTCAAAGTCATCTGGGGAATATGTGGAGCAGGAGAGTCTTTTACCAGCATCTCAGCATCACGTTGCTTTCAACTCTGGATCCTTCCTTCCTTCTCTTTGCTCCTTCAGTGTTTGTCCTGTTCTAGCCTAGATGGCTGTAGAAACAAATTGGAGACATTAATGGAAGAGGATTAGTCTATCAATAGCTGCGGCTGATGGGAGTTGCAGTCCAAACATTTGGCAGTAAAGGCTGCTGTAAGTCACGGTAGCTAAGCAGAACCTCCATGTGCCAAGGCAGTGCTCCTCAGATTATACCTGACACCAGGAGCAAAAACCAGTGGGTGGATCTCCTTCCCGTGCCTTGTTTGTGGTTATATCAGGATTAGACTCTGCTGGATTAGACTAACCTTGATCTCCTCCACCAAGACAATTCTTATACTCGGAAAGGGGCCTGGGGCAAAGCATGAATAACCTGAGACCGGCAGTCAGTCGCTGGATTATGTTTAGGGAAGCTCACAAGCCTTTTTCCTTGGGTGTGAAGTGGGATGCAGATTTGCTTTGTGCTGTATTCTAGGTAAAATCAGCCATAGTGGTTACTTTTGTCCAAGCTGACCACATTGTTGTCTCCAGATAGAGTCTCTCAGGCAGAAACTGAAGATAATGAAACATCTGACATTTGTTCCAACATACTGAATTCTGTATGAGTGAGAGGAAAGATGAAGATTTGGTTGATGCAACAAGCACACCCAAGCAAACAAATTAGGTCTCCAGTTTAATGAGAGAGGGAGATCAGTGGGGGAGAGGGAGAGAGGGAGCGCTTTGGGCTCAAAGATCTTTAGGTTGAACAACTTCAGTCAAAAGCCCAAGGAAGCATCTTGCCTGATTTGCTTGCAACTCGGGTGTTTTCTTTATGCTGTGAGTTTAACAAAGCATGAGCTCATCATTAGTCAACAAGATACCGGGCGAGGCCATCAAAGCAAACTACAGGAGAGTCCAGGATTGAGTCGTGCCAAGCAAATGTTTGCAGCTAACAGCTGTATTACCACTGATCCTGTCTTGCTCAGCAGGTGACCCCCCCCCAAATGAGATGGATTTCATGCTGCAGGATCCAGACCCTGTTGTGTCAGCTCTCCCTTCTCATCCAAGAGGATTTTGCACTAAAGGCCTGCAAGGACCTTCCAGATGAACCCTGCGAGACATTTTGCTCATTTTTACTGAACTTCTTTGGTTTCTCTCAAAAGTTCTCAGAAGAACACTCAGATTCCAAAACTTGTGGAGGGGCAGGGCAAATTGGACTGGCCCTGTTGAAATCAGAAGTGGCACGGAGCCCACAAATCTTCCCCACCTGTGTTCTGTGCTGAATAAATGCTAAATTTCAGATTAAAATGGTCATTGGTATCATTGCTCATAGCCTAGACCAACTTTCCCCCAGGTGCCCTTGACATGTTGCTGGACTACAACTCCCAGCAGCCCCAGCAGCCAGCATGGCCAATGGTCAGGGGCAATGGGAGCTGTGATCCACCAAAATCCAGACGGCACCAAGGCTGGCTACCTCTGCATTAAGAGGAAACAGGCCAAATGGAGCCATAGGGCAAAGAGTCCACCAGGAATTCTACACAACAAGGTGGCCTGTCCTGTTTCACCACCTGAAGTGAAGTGGGAGGGTACTGCTATGTGCGCGCACTGTGTGTCACCTCTCCTTGCCACCCCTGATGCAGCTTCCAGGTTCTGGCAAGATCTCACCGGAAGCCAGAAGTCACTCCAGATGCTTCTCCTTGCTTCTCTGGTGGCAGCGATGGTGGGGTGCCCACAGAGGTGCCCCTTGGATTCTGCCCTCTGAGGCGGCTGCCTCAGTCTGCCTCATGGATAGGCCGGCCCTGCTGTACCAGCACCACTGGGATTTATGGAGGACTTTCCTGATGAAGGCAAGAGGTGCCATTTGGACTTGTCACTCTGGACACTGAAATGTTTTGGGTCACCAGCAAGGTGGGAAGACGACACAAAAATCAAAAATGGAGTGAATGTGACCCAGTCATAAAGCAATGCAAGGTCTTCTTCACACAGGCCTTCTGTGCCATTTGTAAGCCCTGGTAGCTTGGGGGAGTCCTGAAAGCTGATCCCTGAGACAGGGCTGGTTTTAGGGTGGTGCACCCCACATAGAACATGGAGCCAAGGGGGCAAAAATTGAGAAGATCCATCACTGAGAAGATCCATTTGGGGACACCAAATTTTGGCCTCACTCAGAGCGCCATGCTATCAAAGATGACCAATATCTGTCCCTGCCCTGAAATGCAACTGTGATATGGACTGAGCTGAGAGGACCTGCCAGACCCGTGCATCTCTCTGTGCATCTCTGTGTGCTGCTGGGTTGGCTCATCTGAGCCAAGGAGGTTCTTCTGGGGTGCGCCAAGGACTGACAAGCACAACTTACTCTTCTCCATGCCAATCTGTAGCCAGGTGCTGTGTTTGTGCAGCAAACAACCCCACATCTGCAGAATCAGTGTGTGTGGGGGGTGTACTTTGCATGGGGAGTTAGGCTTTGACAGAGGAACCTGAGAATATTCTCATACCTGCAAGATCCTTGTTTGCAGTTTATGTTTGTTTTGATATTTAACCTTCCTTTCAGCCACAAAACAACCCCTTAAGCAGCTCCAAAACAGGACTACTTAAAATAAAACACACACACCAGAAAGCAAATTTTTTTTTAAATATAAATTTTATTTTATAACACCATACAAACAAAAAAGACAAACACAACACATTCACACCAAAAAAAAACTAAATAAAGAAAATATATATATATATAAAAAATATATATATACTCCTGACATAAGACAACAACAAATTAACTACATTAACTACATAACACACAACACTGACTGACTTCCCTTCATCTCGGTTTCGGAATGTGTTATAAAATTTTTCTATCTGCAGTTTCTTTTCCTCAAAAAAAATTCTTTACATCACAAGTGTTATATCGCACCTACTGTGTTTTTTAGTTTTTTTTACCTCTGTTTCCATGTATGCCATGAATTTATTCCAATCTTTATTAAACTTTGTGTCTTTTTGATTTCTTATTTTCTGTGTCATTTTTGCCAATTCTAGATAGTCGAGTAGTTTCGATTGCCATTCATTTATGGTTGGGATTCTTGGTGTCTTCCACCAGAAAGCAAATTAAAAACAAATTACATCCAGTGAAGAGCAGAACATGAATAATCACAGACAACAAGTCTGAGCTATTTGACCCTTTCAATGTACTTTAAATTAACTGGATTATTTTTTAGTAATTGAGAAGACAAAAGAAAAAAGCAAGACATTTTTTAAATTTTATTTTTGCATTTTCTATTTTACATATACAAGTGAAATAAACACATAAACACAAAATCCCCTTTGACTTCCTTTCCCCACCCCTGCCAAAAAAAAGCAAGACATTTGCCCCTTGTGAGTAACCCAAGCAGAGCTTTAAAAAAAGTCACATTTTTATAGAGGACAGAAGGTCATATAACTATATATTTATTTTAAGCAAAATTTGTCCAATATTTTAAGTCTAATTAATGCATTAAGGGGTTAATACTATAGAGTAAGCTGTCCTGCTAGGCTTAACTAGGTCACTCCCCAATACATTGAGAGAAAGGTAAACCTCTGTCTACCTGAGAAGCTCAGTGTGTAAAGAGGTCTGAGCTGGTTGCACCAAGCTCAGACCACGTGGCTCTAACAAGGTTGAGTTCCTATACCAATAATTTAGGAACTTTCACCACTGTAGCTAGCCCACATTTTATTGATTGATGTATGAAAAAGCACATGAATCTGACCTTTGGAAAGTTTGTAAGTAAACAATTTTTAACTTACAAAATGTGTGGTCTTTTCTATGCTAAAAGAGAAGTTTTGGAACTCACAAGGGCATATTTTAAAAGTCGAATAGCCTATATTTCCACGCTTCACTTTGCAGCATAATTTGTGATTTTAAAATCTCTAATGGGGTTCTCTTGCCAAAGAGTACTTGCCCCAAACTTGTATCCCGGCATCCAGGAAGTCTCTTTTTATACCCATTTTCCTCCTTTTTTGTAATAATTTTTATTACATTTTCTGTCTTACAATTTCAAATAAACATTTTACAAACTCTAAAATATCCAGTGTGGCTTCCCTTCCTCTCTTTCCATGGTTCATTTTACATATCATACATCCTTCCATATATTACTATAACCATTCAAATAAATTTTTCACTTTTACATCCATTAAAAATTATTTACTCTGTTGAATTTATCTTAATGCTGTCAGTGTTTTCAGCTGTACAGTTATTTTCCAGATATTCAATAAGCGTTTTCCAATCTTCTTGAAATGTGTATGTTCTCCTTGTTCTCTTATTCTATATGTTAAATCTGCAAGTTGTGCATATTCTGTCAACTTAAGTTGCCAATCCTCTTTAGTTGGGACCTCGCTCACTTTCCATTTGGGGGCTAACAAAACACAGGCCACAGTTGTTGCATAGGTAAATAACCTTTTCTGACATCTGGGAATTTCATTCTGGGTTATCCCCAGCAAAAAGAACTATGTTTTGGGGGGGAGGTACGTAATTTTGAACTTTTTTTTAATTCATTATAAATCATTTCCCAATACCCTTTTACCTTTTTACATGTCTACCACATGTGGAAGAACGTTCCCTCTACTTCTTTACACTTCCAACACTTATCTGATTCTGTCTTATAAATCTTAGCCAACCTACTCAGAGTTAAATACCATCTATGAATCATTTTCAAGTAGTTCTCTTTCAATGAATAGCATGCTGTAAATTTCAGGTTGCTTTTCCAGAGTTTCTCCCAGAGGTTGAGATCTATATTGTGTTCTATATCATTTGCCCAGTGTGTTATTGAAGTTTTAACGAGCTCGTCTTTTGTTTCCCATTCTAATAGAAGATGATACATTTTAGACAAAGGCTTATCCTTATTTTGCAAGAGTTCCATTTCAAATTGTGAACTTTGGTCCAAAAATCCATTCTTTCTATCTAATTTAAACGTATCATGTAACTGGTGATATTGCAAGCAAGCAATAACTTGGTTCCTTAGGTTTTCCATTGATTTCAATTTGGGTTCCCCAATGTAAATTCCAGCAGTTACAGGGAACAGTCACCCATTGTCTACAGTTACAGTCGCCTATTGTACAGTGGTACCTCGGGTTACAAACGCTTCAGGTTACAGACTCCGCTAACCTAGAAATAGTACCTCGGGTTAAGAACTTTGTTTCAGGATGAGACCAGACATTGTGCAGCAGTGGCACAGTGGCAGCGGGAGGCCCCATTAGCTAAAATGGTACCTCAGGTTAAGAACAGTTTCAGGTTAAGAACGGACCTCCAGGACGAATTAAGTACTTAACCCAAGGTACCACTGTATATCCACATTAACTCTCTTAATTGTAATTGCTCCGATGGGAGATAGCCATAAATAAAGGTGTTTTTCTTTCCAACAGATTTTTATGTTTCTCCCAGACTCTATACAGATTTTTCCTAAGAATGTGATTCATAAAACTCTTATAGATTTTCGCCTTCCCATACCAAAGACATGCATGCCAGCTGAATTTTAAATCATGTCCCTATACCTATAAGTGTGTGTGTGTGTGTGTGTGTGTGTGTGTGTGTACCTATTTTTTTCCTTGCCACCAACAGAGATTATATTGATGCAGGTCCTTGTGGCAAACAGTGTTCTGGTTCCTCCAGGGTTATGGAGAGAATGATCCTCCCCTCCAGCCAGTCTCACAACCTATTCCAAGTGGGGATTGAGGAGTGGAGGATGCTGGTGCCAACATTCCTGTTGATGAAACGTCTTGGCTCCACTGTCTGTGGGGGAGAAACCTTTCCCCTGGCATTCCCTTCCTGGGCTGCACCGGCTGTCTGTGGGGAGTTCATTGGGAGTGCCAAGAGATGGGAAGGAGGAAGCAAGTGAGCAGTGCAGAAGACATAAAAGCCAACACACACCTCCCTTTGCAACCCTTTCCAAATTGAAAACTGGAAAGAACTGCCTTTTCTCTCTTCAAAGCTTCCCTCACCCATGCCCAGGGTAAAAATACGGAATAATCAAATAATTAGTGAGTAGTCATTCAAGAGAGGAGAGGAATAGCATTGTAGTTAGAGCACATAGTATTCTCCCAGATGAACTGCAACACTCATTAAGCTTATATCTAGAGAGGCTTTGATCTGTGCACTTTCCTTTATTGAGCTAGCTCTGTTACGTAGTCCCATAATTCAGGTGATATCAGATCCCCACCCTCAATTTACTGTGGCAGCCACTCTGAGGAGCTCCTTCCCTGGGAAAACAAAGTTGCCTCCCTCTTCATCCAATTCCCTTCCTGGACAGGTGGAAATCTCCCTCTTTGCGAAGGTGTTTGGGGCTTCCTCTTGTTGGCTTTGCAACATCTCTAGATTGTTTTGCTGCACAACTGCTCTTGGCTGGCTTTTCATTCATTGAGTTTTTAGCTGTGATCTGAAAATGTGATTGTTTTAGATTTCGTTGTGTGTCACTTTGAGCGTTTAGTGGAGTTGTATTCCCCTTTCCTTAATTTAGTTCTACAAGCTCTCACTCCCAATTTGAAGCTTAATTTGTTTAACCCACTATCCAAATTGAATTGTACAAATCTTACCACCGTCCCACATCATTAACAAGAAAAGAAAAAGATTTTCCCCAAGATCCACCCCAGTTCCTTCCACGAATTCCCTTTTTTAAACACGTCCAATCAAAATAAAATGACATGCGTAAGTTATGTAAAAAATAAAAATAAAAGATATAGAAAAATTCAAAAGATGGTTACACAGCCTTTGGATTTCAAATCTCCCCCTTCCCCGGTTTGAATTCCCCATATCCATCAGTCTATGCATTATCAGCTTGGAAGTCTCAATTCATGACCAAATTTCTCCCCGATTCCATCTTGCCGGTTTTCTTTTAATTTATTAATAATATGTAACTTCAAGTGTCCAATCTAACAAAGGCCTTTAATTTCCTTGATCTTTACCACTCCTCCCGTTGTTCTTTCCGTGTCGTAATCAGTCCTTTGTTCTTCTTTTCCTCACTTTCTCAGGTTTCTTGTCCTGTTCAGCTGCTAAAACTTTCTAATTCAGAAATCTGGTATCTCTGCAGAGGTTTGTTATTCAGGAACAAAACTTACGTCCAGTCCCTTCCTTTCTTCAATAGAAAATTCTATTGTCTCCTTTAATGTAAATACCTCTGTAGACAAAATACTATTTCAGTTTTGCAGCTTTCCCAAAAGATAACAAGTCCTGTGCGAATCCCAGAGTATTTTTCCACTTACGACCGTTCTTGTAATATCCCGAAACCCCTCTAGAGGATTGTAATAACTTTGTATCCTCTAATCCAAAAGTCAAATTGTTGCTTATTTTCCAACAGTTTATATCCATATTGTAGCAAATTGTAGCAAAATTAACCGGCAAAGTCCTCATAACAAAGTCCTCTTTATATTCTCCAACTTTGACAGCCACTTTGACAGCTGTCAAAGTCTCCGTCTCTCTTCACCAGGCTCCACGAATCGCCCCGGTTCCCAGGGGGGGGGGGTTGCATTTTTCTTCTCACCCTCCACTCTTCTCCTCCAGCACAGTTCTTATAATTTCCCATCGTGAAATTAATGGTTTTTATCAAGAATATACTTCCCTTTGGACCTTGGTTACCCAGTCCTTGTTTTGGAATGCTTACAGTAGGGGGGGGGGATTGACTTCGTTTTAAATCGCCCCGCTCGTGCCAAATCCGAAATTTTGAACCCGGTTTCCCAATTACTCACGGGTTGTTGTTAATAGTCCAAATTTTCAATGGAAGAAGTCAGCGCTCTCCGTCGAATGGCATGCGGCTGCGCTCGGCAGGGAAAGCAGAGGACTCAAAGCACCACGCCGCTCCCCGGCACCCGATCCGAAGCCTTTAAAAGGCTCCTTCACGAGTCGGGAGGGCGCTAATGGTGCAAGCCGAGTCACCCATGTCCACGGACTCCGTGCCCGTGGTTTTTAAGGGTCCCCGCGTCGCCGGCGCGGTGGGACCCAGCCCCTGCCGAGCAGACTCCCTCCGGAGCTCGGAGGGAGTCCGCCATTCGGCGATGGCGCCAACCCGGAAGTCCGAGCGTTTAGTGGTTTTGAACGGCTGGGAAAGAAACTGAGGTATTTTATAAATAAAAATAGAAACAGTTGACAGGATGAGGTTGCAGACCGAAGGAGCAACAGATTGCTAGTTCTTTGATTTATTGCTTGGTGTTTGCCACTGTGATGATTGTAGGGATGTGTATAGATGTTAGGAGAGGATGTATTTATTAGATGTTATCCTTCCTTCCTCACGTTTTAGCAGAGTGCATCTCTTTGCAACTTAAAAGGGAAGCTTAGATTGACCAGTTTTAGCCTTTTAGTTTAAGTAACCAGTATGCTTTAAGGCGGGACGCGGGTGGCACTGTGGGTTAAACCACAGAGCCTAGGACTTGCCGATCAGAAGGTCGGGGTGAGCTCCCATTGCTCGTTCCCTGCTCCTGCCAACCTAGCAGTTCAAAAGCACATCAAAGTGCAAGTAGATAAATAGGTACCGCTCTGGTGGGAAGGTAAATGGCGTTTCCATGCCCTGCTCTGGTTCGCCAGAAGCGGCTTAGTCATGCTGGCCACATGACCCGGAAGCTGTACGCTGGCTCCCTTGGCCAATAAAGCGAGATGAGCGCCGCAACCCCAGATTCGGTCACGACCGGACCTAATGGTCAGGGGTGCCTTTACCTTTATCTATGCTTTAAGACAGACTGGTTTCTCCTTTTCTCTCCCTTAAAACAACAATCACATAAACAGTCTTGTAAAAGGTAAAAAACATTTTGCTCACTCAGAATACTTGTTGAGAAGTAACAGATACAGCAGCTTTGTTCAGGCAGGCTTAAAATGGTAATTCTGTTACATAGGCATGCTTAAGTCTAGCTTAAGATGGAGTCTGATCATTGGAGGTCAGACATGGCAGATTGTTTTTCACATTTATAGCTTGAGATAAAGAGTAAAAGTGAAGAGAGGCAAAAGAGCAGAGAGCAAAGATGAATTGCCCAGTCAGGTAAGTAGATTATATACGGCTTTGCCCTACTTCTGGCTGGGCATAGTCGGAGTGTCTCTCACAGAGCTCTCTCTAGCAAACTTACAGGAAAACTCTGTGAGCTTCAGCTCCTATCATGTTCCTGTCTAGCAAACATGCATTGTCGGTTTGACTGCATTGTAAATACAGTGGTACCGCAGGTTAAGTACTTAATTCGTTCCGGAGGTCCATTCTTAACCTGAAACTGTTCTTAACCTGAAGCACCACTTTAGCCGCTGTGCCGCCGGAGGACGATTTCTGTTCTTATCCTGAAGCAAAGTACTTAACCTGAGGTACTATTTCTGGGTTAGCGGAGTCTGTAACCTGTATGTAACCTGAAGTGTATGTAACCCGAGGTACCACTGTATCCCACAATGATTTGGTGTTCTTGGGATATGTTGCATCCAACCATCAGAATGTTTCAGGCCAAAAGCATCTGAATGGAGTCAGTTCTGAAGGAAAAGTCTGAAGGCGTAACCTTTTCTCTAAAATGAAGCATCATAAGGGTCTTCTTGAAACTTTGCTGAGGTCAACAGGGCTTGCACAGGAGATCTTCCCAGGGACTGGGCTTCTCTATCCTCCCAGTTGCCCTGTTTGGCTAGATTGCCTCTGCTTTGCATTTGCTCCCTCTTATGCTGTCATTTTTACCACATTTCCCATTGTCAAGTGATGATGGGAAAGAAGAAGCAATTGTTGGTAAGCTTGACCATTTCATATCACAGGAGGGGAGCGGGCTGCTGTGCTCAAGTCCTGCTCATGGCCTGAGTGTAGGCATCTGGTTGGACACTGTGAGAACAGGATGCTGGACTAGATTGGCCAAAGGCTTGACCCAGCAGGCACTTCTTATGTTCAGCTCTGTTGTCCACTCTTGTTGATTTTGCATGTGTGCTTTTGGCAAAAATCTGAACATGTTCAAGGGTGTGGACAGCAACAAAGCAGTGTTGAGGTCTATCATCTATCCATGAGCATTGGCTTGTAGTGGAATGCCTTTTTTGATACGCTGGCAGATGCCACCTGATCCCTTAGAAGTGGCTCATTAATTCTCTGTCATGCTACCACCCACTTCTGTGTGTGTTGTTAACAATATTAACCTCCATCTTAGGTGCTGGCTCCCTGGGGCCTTGAGTGCCTGAGCACCCACAAAATTCCCCATGAAGGGGCTGGGCACCCACAAAATTTGGCACCAGGGCCACCACGGCCCCAGGCACCCATGGTCGCAGGGCCAAGCTGGCACTCTTGACTTCCATTATATGCCCAGCTGAGCCTACAGCCAAGGTTGTTGTTGTGGTTACCTCAGGTTTGTGTATGATTAAGGATGACTGAGTGGACAACAGGCAGATATGGCCAACTCTCCTAGAAAAGGCTCCAGTGCAATGCAGCAGATGTTGCATAGGCGCACAGGGCTCTTGCAAGCTCTGCTTGGTTTTGCTGAGGCTTTTTGCTGCCTGCCATTATTGTGTGGCAGCTGGCTGCCATATAAAATGTCTGCCTCTGAGTCAAAATGTCTCAGGGTTTATCCACCCTTAACTTTCCCCTGCTTTTTCTAGGCATGGCCCACACTTAAAAGCTCAATGTCTGAGCACCCTTTTCTTTTGCTCTGGAGCTTTCCTCATGAAAATCCACTGCCGGAAACTCAAATTGACATTTGCTCTGACTGAGCACTAAAGAGCAAGTTTTTGTGGGGAAAGCTCCTGGGCAAAACAAAACAAAATGCTCATACCTGGAGTTTTAAGCACAGATGTTTGCCTGGAAAGAGTGGGGCAAAAGGTAAGTGTGTATAAGCCCACAGTCCTACATTTGAGTAAAAATTGGAGAGCACAGAGCACTGATTCTGACTGCTTGCAGTATGCCCATCTCCCCTCATGGACTGCAGTCAAAAGACTAACCAGTGTCTAGACTGTGTGGGCAGGCAGGGAATCTCTATGAACTTGTATGGAGCAAAAAGAGACCAGGATGACTTCAGTCCCTTCTTAGACCCGTTGTTGATATGTCTGCCTCTACTCTTATCTGTCCATTGCTTCTGGGAATCAAAATGTTTTGTTTCTTATGTCAGCATAATTATGCATCTTCACCTGCATCTTGTGTCAGGGCTGGTTCAGCTGCAGGTCAGCCCAGAGACTCAGAGACTAGCAGTAAAGTTGATTCTTTATTCAAGGAAACAGAATACAAACAGAAAAACCTAAGGTGAGACTGGCCCCGGTGAAGCAGTAGCCAGAACTGGCTGGCGATCTGGGCCTCCCACTTCCCCCTAGGCCTCCTCTCCATCCGGCTGTTTTCCCTGCAGTCCACCAGGGAGGGGCCCCTTGAAACCTGTGGGCCCATTGTTCGGCCACATGCAAAAGTCTCTGAGACCTTGGAGACAAGAGGGGAGCTGAATACAGTAGGACCAGCAGGCTCCTATGGATCTGTTGCAGTCTCAGCCTCCACCTCCAACTGTCTGTCCTATGTCTGCAGTCTTTTCATCCTCTTTGTTATGTACTGAGTTGAATAGGATCCACAAGGCAGCAGTCTGATTGGTCCTAGAACAATAGGATTCAGAATGCAGCAGTCTGATTGGTCCTAGAACAATAGGATTCAGAATGCAGCAGTCTGATTGGTCCTAGAACAATAGGATTCAGAATGCAGCAGTCTGATTGGTCCTAGAACAATAGGGTCCAGAATGCAGCAGTCTGATTCATCCACAGGAGCCACCCAATCCAGCTCCAGGTGGAAGTGAATCCGCAACCTGATTGGTCTACAGGTGAATCCCAGAATTAGCCAATCACATGGAGCCCATTGTGTAAATAATGTATATAAAGCAGATATTCTGGGGGAACTTCCATTCCTCCTCACCACTATGAGCAGAATAAAGAGCATGAAATCCACTCGACTCTGAGTATATTTCACTCTTCTTCCTCTCTCTCACTAAGAACTGTTGCTTGTCCAGTACAGTGGTGCCTCGGGTTAAGTACTTAATTCGTTCCGGAGGTCCGTTCTTAACCTGAAACTGTTCTTAACCTGAAGCACCACTTTAGCTAATGGGGCCTTCTGCTGCTGCTGCGCCGCCGGAGCATAATTTCTGTTCTCATCCTGAAGCAAAGTTCTTAACCCAAGGTACTATTTCTGGGTTAGCAGAGTCTGTAACTTGAAGCATATGTAACCTGAAGCATATGTAACCCAAGGTACCACTGTATTCAGCCATTTCCCCCCTCGTCTCATCCGTGTCCCACCAGCATTCCCCTGGCCTGGAGCCTTCCTCTTCTCAGGCTTCTCTGGGGGGTTCTCTGGCTGGAGCTCCCCGCCTCTCCTCATTGTCCAGCCAGCTCCTGACATTTCACTAGTGCCTTGAGCTGCCTGTTGCTCTGAGCCCATCTCTCAAGCCTTTTCTCCTTCATCTTTTCAGGTTGGCAAGTTGATCCAAGAAGCAGCTGGGAGGAGTAACTTAAAGAGGGTGACGCTGGAACTTGGGGGGAAGAGCCCCAATATTATCTTTGCAGATGCCGACTGTAAGTAAGGACGAGGGAGGAGTTTTGTAAGGTTCACATTTTAATGTAAATAATGTAATGTAAATAACTCTCACTTTCTGAAACAGCCCGCAAACCAAAACACTGCTATCCTTCAAAATTAACTCTTCTCTGAGTTTCGTGAAGCAGTCCTCCAGCCAATTAAGATGTACAGAAATGTATATGTCAGGGAAAGTGTATACTACTTTAAAAAATACATTATATCAGGGAATTCCCCCCCCCCCCCAAGTGTATATATTGTTGTAAAAGTTGGGCACCATCGCCACTCTTTGCTGAGTGGTAGTGAGATTCCAGGGGGTTCCAGGCATTCACCCAAGATCTATGCTCCTTTGGAAAATAGAAGACTGCCATAGCTTTAAGAAATATGATTTATTCACATATCCACACCTTCAGTCTGCATGGAGGGAGTCAAACTCTTGCAGCATTTCCATCCCAAGCAGTGCAGCGGCACAAATAAAGAGGACAGAGGGAAGATTTTCTGCCTCTCTCATAATGAGGGCACTTGAGGACATCCAACAAAGCTGAATACTGGGAAATTCAGGACAGATAAACAGTTCTTCACACAGCGCATAGTTAAACTGTGGAACTCACTCCTACAAGAGAGAAGGATAGCCATCAACCCGGATGGCTTTAAGGGCAGATTAGAATTTGGGGAGAAGAAGGATATCAATAGCAACTAGCTATGATGGCTATTTTGTTTGTTTGTTTATCAAATTTATTTTATATAATAATAATAATAATTAATAATAATAAATTTTATTTATATCCCGCCCTCCCCAGCCGCAGCTGGGCTCAGGGCGGCTAACAACAATCAAAATAATCCAGCATTCTAAAAACATTCATTATAAAATTAATTAAAATCAAATTGATGGCAACCATTAAGCAAAATTCTGTGCAGATTGCCAGAGGAGGGGTCAGGCTGCGCCCTGACCAAAGGCCTGGTGGAACAGCTCTGTCTTGCAGGCCCTGCGGAAAGATGTCAGGTCCCGCGGGCCCTAGTCTCTTGTGACAGAGCGTTCCACCAGATTGGAGCCGCGGCCGAGAAAGCCCTGGCTCTAGTTGAGGCCAGCCTAACCTCTCTGTGGCCTGGGATCTTCAGGATGTTTTTATTTGCAGACCGTAAATTTCTCTGTGGGGCATACCAGGAGAGGCGGTCCCGTAGGTACGAGGGTCCTAGGCCGTATAGGGCTTTAAAGGTTAAAACCAGCACCTTAAACCTGATCCTGTACTCCACCGGGAGCCAGTGCAGCTGGTATAGTACCGGATGAATATGATCTCGCAGCGAAGACCCCATAAGGAGTCTCGCCACGGCATTCTGCACCCGCTGGAGTTTCTGGGTCAGTCTCAAGGGCAGCCCCACGTAGAGCGAGTTACAATAATCCAATCTGGAGGTGACCGTCGCGTGGATCACAGTGGCTAGGTCAGGGCGAGAGAGATAAGGAGCCAACTGCTTAGCTTAATAATAATAATAATAATAATAATAATTTTATTATTTATACCCTGCCCACCAGGGACGCGGGTGGTGCTGTGGGTTAAACCACAGAGCCTAGGACTTGCCGATCAGAAGGTTGGCAGTTCGTATCCCCGCGACGGGGTGAGCTCCCATTGCTCGGTCCCTGCTCCTGCCAACCTAGCAGTTTGAAAGCACGTCAAAGTGCAAGTAGATAAATAGGTACCACTCCGGCGGGAAGGTAAATGGCGTTTCCATGCACTGCTCTGGTTCGCCAGAAGTGGCTTAGTCATGCTGGCCACATGACCCGGAAGCTGTACGCCGGCTCCCTCGGCCAGTAAAGTGAGATGAGCGCCTCAACCCCAAAGTTGGCCATGACTGGACCTAATGGTCCGTGGTCCCTTTACCCTTTACCTTTACCCCACCCATCTGGCTGGATTGTTAACTTTATTAGATTAAATCCTTGGATCACACGGTGGTTTACAATATTAAAACACAAAAATACACCAGATAGTAGCAAACAAAAACAATACCCCCCCCCCCAGTGTTTATCTGTGCTCTTCCTCCCCAGTCAGAGGCAGGAATGCTTCTGAGTGCTAGATGCTGGGAATCAGAAATGGGGAGAGTGTTGCTGTTGTGCTCACAGGTCCTTCCTCTAGGCATCAGTTTGGCCACTGTGAGAAGAGGGTGCTGGACTAGATGGACCTCTGGTATTATCCAGCAGACTGTCTTTACGTTCTTATGATATTTGGACAAAAGCTGCCGGTTCCCAGTTACTGGGTTTTCATTTCAACAGCAGGCTGAGTTCTGAGTTGTCTGCCAGTGCTTTTATGATCTGACACAGTCTGAATTATGCAGGCCAAAATATTAATTAATCCGTTGTTGTCGTAACTAGCATCCAGGACCTCCTGCAAAGCACCGTGGGTTTTTTCTTACGGCCCTCAAAACCTTTTTGATCTCTGCCCTGCTCTTACAGGAATCCCTACGTAAAACAGAATGAATCATCTGCAGTAACGGCAGCATACACAAATAACATGTGTGTGGATGTTTTGATCTTTTCAAACGTCTGCCCACCACCCCAGCAATGGAGTTTTGTTCTGTTGCTTTGAAGTTGAGCAGCATTATTTGCAGCTTGGAGTGATGTGTGTGACGTGGGCTCAGGAGCCACAGATGTGGGGAACGGTCCCTCAGCATGTGGCTCTCTTGCTTTTGCAGTGGATTACGCAGTGGAGCAGGCACATCAAGGGGTCTTTTTCAACCAAGGCCAGTGCTGCACCGCCGGCTCCCGGATCTACGTGGAGGAGCCCATCTATGAGGAGTTTGTTCGAAGGAGCGTTGAGCGTGCCAAGAGGAGGGTGGTGGGGAGTCCTTTTGACCCCACCACAGAACAAGGACCACAGGTAAAGGGAAGGGATCCAGGGCCCAGATACTAAATGCATTTCTACGGTGCATGCCAAGTCCTGGAAAAACACTGGCCACATTAGCACCATACATTTAAAGTGCTATGATCCCACTTTAAACACTCATAGCTTCCCCCAAAGAATTCTGGAAGCTGTCATTTGTTAAGGGTGCTGAGAGTTCTTAGGGGACCTTTGTTCTCACTGAAGAGCTACAATTCCCAGAGTTCCTTGTGAAGAGAGATTGATTGTTAAACTACTCTAGAAACTAGAGGGAGGGAGGGAGGGGAGGAAGAGATCAGACGAAAACACTATAACAGCAATGCAATGCATGTAAACTTCAGTGTGTAGTATTCCAAGAGAGCAGATCTCCAGGTGCCAGGCAGTCACGGCAAAGAAATGAAGAGGAGGAATTGATAAAGATGGTTTGTGCTTTGCAGATCAATCTATGTCCACAGCCAATGATCCTGTGATTCCAGGCACATCTTGTTGGCCGCTGTGAAAAAAAGGACACTGGAAAAGATGGTCTTGTATTGGGCGCACCCAGTTTCTGCAGGGCCCTGCTTATGCTCATCTTCTCTTTCCTTCCTTCCTTCTTCTTTTTCTTTTTAAAGATTGATAAGAAACAATACAATAAGATCCTGGAACTGATTCAGAGTGGCATTGCTGAAGGCGCACGGCTGGAATGTGGAGGCAAAGGACTGGGAAGGAAGGGATTCTTCATTGAACCCACAGTCTTCTCCAATGTAACGGATGATATGCGCATTGCCAAGGAAGAGGTATTGGTTCCTCTCATCCTCTTTTCCCCACACTCTGGGTCAAAGACCTTGTAGGATGTTGCCAGGAAAAAACCATACTCACAGAGGCTCCTGAAGTTTCCTCCTGGCAGGGCACCAGCGGTCAGCCAGGATGAGCACCGGTCAAGAGTCCCAACCGCCCAAAAGCACCCCTTGTTTGCCTGACCCAGCTGTGCCAGCTTACCATTCTCTTTGCTGGATGCCCAGGAAGGCATCTCAGTGGTGGGTGGGTGGTGGTGTGGTGCCATTTCTAAACAAGATCCAATTTTTTCTGAATGCGAGCCAAACATTTCTGAACGTATCTGAACAAGATCCATACTTGACTCCCATCCACGGTGACTGCATGCCATTTTAATTTACCCCAAGTGCCCACTCCATTTCTGTTGCAGATCTTTGGGCCTGTTCAAGAAATCCTGCGGTTTAAAACCATGGATGAAGTTATTGAAAGAGCCAACAATTCAGACTTTGGACTGGTTGCTGCCGTCTTCACCAATGACATCAACAAGGCCTTGACCGTTTCCTCCGCAATGCAAGCAGGAACTGTCTGGTGAGGAGGGAGGAGGGCTGGGGGCAGGGGGTGCCTGCTCTGGAAAATGGGGTGTCTGTTTCTGGGGTGAGGGATAACATGGAGACTTTGTAATCAATGTGTTTTCTTTCTTCCTCCAACAGGATAAATTGTTACAACGCCTTAAATGCCCAGAGTCCTTTTGGAGGATTCAAAATGTCCGGCAATGGGAGAGAGATGTAAGCAACACTTCCAATGAGGGCTTTGGGGCTCCTACCTGTCCAAATGGTGCCTCCACCAGAAAGGGGGGAAAGGTGGCTCTCCAGGTGATGCTGTGGGAGTGATGTGGAGGAGGCAGTCATGCAAACAAGCCCTTCGTCTGGATCCACATTGACCTTTCAGCACCTGACCCTGGGCATTTTAAAGCCTGATAGAGCTCAACCAAAATGGCCCTCAATTTGGCAAAAGTGTATGGGGGGCCGGGGAGATTGTTATGTTCAGTGTTTGACCTTGAACCACTTTATTATAGTCCAGTGGAAACAGGGTTGTAGCGGTGGTGGAGCCAGTTCCTTTTCTCCCCAAGCAAAAGCTTAATGAACTGCCTATATTCTTCCTCCGAGGAAACCACTGCCAGTATCCCTAGAGGGGAATTGGGGTGGGGGAGAAAAGGGGATGGAGGGCACGGAGTCTGCATTTCCTTTGTTGAGCAGAGAGATATTCTCCTCTACGAGCACCACTGAAGTGAATGGAGGCTTATGATGCTCCACACGTGCCTCTCCCATTCATTTCAACGGGGAGCACACACAGGGATTTCTCAGGTCAAATCTCTTGTCTTTCACCACTCTCCCTCCTTTAGTGGCATGCAGGGTCTGCTTCCTTACCTTATCGTGTGGGAGGGTTGGCCATCCCTGTTTGTTGGTGCATCACCCAGACTCTGATAAGCATCTCTGTGTGGTACTTGTAGAGAGGAATGGTGTTTAGTCACAAATCTTGCACATTTAATTTGTTTTCTAGGGGAGAGTGTGGACTGCGAGAATATTCCGAAGTGAAGACTGTGACGATAAAGGTTCCTCAGAAGAACTCGTAAGAAGACAATGTGCCGATCACTGCAGTACATCAAGTGACCCTCTGTATTCCTTTTAAGGGGACTAGCACTCAGGAATTTTTAAAAAAAACAACGACACAGATTTCTTTTTTAAATAGCATTGCAACCAGGCTTGCCATTAAGCTGGATGGGTTTTCACCCCACTGCTGGCCACAAACCACTCGTTTAGTATAGTACAGTTAGAAAACATTCAGAAATGTTCCCACTATACAAATTGCAAGTAAACACACGCTATCATGTTCCTGAAAAGAAAACCTGTTTTAAACTGACCTTCCCAACCATCATGTCCTTGATTTGCTCCATTCTTGTATGACATTGGCGCTGCAACTGGATTCATTTGGGGACCCAAAACTCAGCAAGCAGCCACTTACCAGAAATATAAGCCCCAAGGCTGGAGGTGGGCAACTTAACTGGAGATTGTAATGTGCGTTCTTGAAAGCATAATCCTTTTCTCCTGAAGTGAGTTTGTATTCCTCCTCATTTCAGGGAAACTTTAATGCCTGATAGAGCTCAACACAGTGCTCCAACAGAGAAAACGATGGTGGAGTTTTGGGTTCTCTCTGTAGCTGCAGGTGTGTCTTCGTAAGGAAACCATTTCCCTTTTGGATCTGACATAAAGCGCACTTGCAGTATAACCACCACCACCACCTCCCCCCCCAAAAAAAAGGCTGGTTGTGTTTACACCTGCTCTTCTAGACAGAAAGGGAGGAGCTGGGTGAGAGGAAAGGGGCCACTTCAGCCACTTGCTCCCAGGTAGAGTTATGAGGGAGCAGATTCCTGGAACTTGACCCTCTTCAGCTGCAAGCTGGATTCCTACCATCAGTGTTGCAGCTGATGATGGGCAGCGAATGTGAGGAGGAAGAGCATGCCTGGAACCCCATGGCAGAATCTGCACAAATGGAGCTGTGGGAAAATGGAAATGAGCCCATTGCATCCCTGGGGGCAGTTCCAAATCCTGAGCAGAATTTGAGGTTTTGATGTTCAAATCGGCAGGTTAACTGCAACCTCACAGCTCCCTCCATTCAGAGCAGCGCTAAATGGCTTGAATGACAAGGGGCTGCTGTCAGCCGTGTTCTGCATCATTTTTGCCCCCCTTCATCATGCTCTGCCTAGCACCCCCAAATCAGTGGCAGCAGCTGGGAGACAAACACCATGGTGACATCACACCATATGATATGTTAATGTGTGGGGAAAGGAGCCCCAGAAATGGCTGTTGCTGATTTGGCCCCTGGAGCAAGGAGGAACCTCCCTCTGCAGTTCATCTGCCTTTTTCTGACTTCTTTGCAGGCAGGCCCTCATTTCACGTAGGAAGGTGGAACAGTGGCAAGTGACCTGGGCTTTCTGTGACTTTCACTCTTGACTGAAGCCTTGCAGAAAATAAAAATTAAAAAGATCCTTTGGCCATGGTTCTGCAGAACAGTGGTCTGACTTGAGAAATTGCAATTTATTATTATTATTATTAAAGACCAACTTGCCAAAAAGAAAAGCTGAGTAAGGAGGAGGCAATCCCTAGATTTGTCATGGCTACTCTTAACCATACCAATTCCAAGTACACTTGCCAGCCCTCCTCTTGTGAAGGAAGGACATGCTCTGCTGCCGCTCCTTCCATAATGATATTCAGCAGTTTGTGACCGGCCTTTGAGAAGCACTAGATTTAGGGCCGAGGGGGCGCAAAATTGAGAAGATCCATCTGGGGGTGCCAAATTTTGGCCTCCCACAGGGTGCCGTATTAAGAAAGATGACTAAAGTCTGCCCCTGTTTTGACTGTCACCTCCTTTGCAGCCACAGCCTCTCAGTGCTACTTGAATGAGAAATCTACTTATTTTTTATTCCCCAAAACCAGCATTGCTCCTGTTGCATAAGGCTATAAATGCATGCAGAAGGGGACTGCTGGGTGATGCTGCCAGGTGAGCATCAGTGGCACCAGCCCAGGGTGTGGGCACTGCAACAGTGTGGTTTCCCTCAAGGAGGCTGGATCCACATACAAAGGCCCACAGTGTCATCACTTTACCACTTTTTCTAATGGTTCCACTTAGTTCATCTGTTTGTGCTTCTGGCTGCCAACTGCAGAACAAGGGCTGAACCAAGAGGCAGACAGCAATGTTGGCTCCACTCATTAACTCACTCCCCTCTCTGTTGCTGAATTGCAACTTATCACCAAACTTAAAACCATGGAGAGACCTGGTCTGAATAGAGACATTGGATTCTTATTATACATGATAAAGCTATTTTTAGCCATCTCATCCGTTGCTTTTTCCTGTAAGACCAATTGCAGTCGTTAACAGTCGTCAACAGGTTTACCACACCTATCAGCCAATCACCCATTCCCACCACCTTTCTGAGCAATACCCCTCCCCACCCTCTCACTATATATAAGGGTCTGGTGACTTCTGTTTCAGCGTATCTGAAGAAGTGTGCATGCACACGAAAGCGCATACCAATAACAAACTTAGTTGGTCTATAAGGTGCTACTAGAAGGAATTTTTTTATTTTGTTTCCCCTCTTTGTGTGAACCTCACAATAACCCTGTGAGGTAGGTTAGGGTGAGAAACAGTGAGTTGCCCAAGGTCACTCAGTAAGCTCTATGGTGTAATGGAGATTTGAATGTGGTTTTCTCTAATTCAAACCCAGAACTCTACTGATACATCAAGGTGGATCCCGGTTCACTGTGTGGTTTAAACACGTGGCTCTAATTTACACAAGTGGCTGCAAAACCATTTAGAACTCTGGGCACATCTGGATTTTTCAGTGAGTGATGTGATTGTCACCCCTTCTAGTCACAGATCTAGCCGAGTGAATGTGAACCTTGAAAAGCACATAGAGCTGAAACAGGAAGTGAGAAAGAGTGTCACTCTTCCATCTTCCTCCTTCAGCTCTATGTACTGTACTTTTCAATGGAGAAGAAGTTAACCATCCTTTCCAGAAAGTGGGGAATTCAGAGGCTTCATGGGCACCAGGGAAAGACCTAAAGGGCACAACTGAGCCCATGGAATGGTGTCTCCTGATTTATACCCTCATTCAGCCAGGGGTGATTTCAAAGGCAGGAGTCCTTTGTTCCAGATCAAAAATGGAGGCCTCATGTTCTTTATAAAGGAGAAAACAAATTCAATGACATTCGTTTGCATGTTATCCCCGTGGGAACATCCCACATCTGACAAAATCATGTCTGGATGAGACATAGAACAAATGTAAAATGTAGTGGCCAATCATGAAACAGAAATATCAGCAGTTTTTGGACACAATTTACCAGGAATTGGGCCAAAGCACAGAACGTCCCCAAGGGTGGTATTCAGAGGCGGTTGAAACGCCAGTGCAAAAGTTGCATTTTTGACTGGTCGATTGAGGGTTTTTTCTGGACTTTTGAAAGACAGCTGTGTGTACTCAGCTGTCCATGTTTGCTACAGCATCTTTACAAAAAATGGATCTCCCAAAATGAATCATTCTGTGTCAAAAACTCAGACAGAAACTCTGGACACTGAAAAGGTTCATCCCCTCTAAGCTGAAGGGTTGAGAGTCAGTTAATAAGGAACCTGGCCATTGGAAAGTTGTCATGAGAAGGGGTGAGAGCTTGGCGTAAAAGAAGACCAAGGCAGCCTCTTGCTCCACACAAGGATCCAGTTCAAGTGTGCAAGCTCAGCAAAGTACTTCACTGGCTGGCCCAAAGCTGCCTAGAACCTGAAACATTTAATGCAAAAGGCTCCTCTTCCCACGACATCACATGGAGCACCCTTTGCCAGGAAGTTCCCCTGCGCAAGCTCCAGTGGCACAAGTATGAGTTGCACAAATGTGCTCTTCAGCAATGCACACTCGTGTCAGATGGGCTTGCCCAGGAAAACTTCTCACTGGAATGGTGGGGCTCTCTGTCTCCCTCTCTGCCACCCCCTTCAGGCTCTCTCCATCTCCCCTCTCCCCTCCCTTCCCAGCCCAGCCCTCTCTGCATCCTGCCCCCCATGTTTGATATTTATGCCATCCTTGTTTGTCTCCAAATATAGATATATATTTTTTGCTAGATGCATAATTCAAGCTGTTCTTTTCCGAACGTGGAGATGCAATTGCAAGCTATACCAGAGCTGTGCAACATGAATGTCATATACTCCTATTGTAGGGTTATGTCAGAGTTTTGTTTTCTTTCTTGAAAGAAATATGCTTTAAGAAATTAGTTTTCTTATTATCTCCAATATTCATTGTGAAGGGATACTTTTCATTTCTTTTTCTGTTACATGCCTTTGGAAGAAACTCGTGCTAGCAATAAGCATTTATACTGTGTATTCCTCTGTATTATATGTGTCTTGTCTATTGTTTGTGTGTTATTTCAAATAAATTCAGGTAACAACTGAAGTTGCCATTTTTCCCACCACCCTCAACGCACATGAGTCGGTGAAATTTGTCTTTTCATTTGCCAGATAAATCATGTGCTGCTCAAGGGCACCCCCCGTCAGTCTTCGAAGTTTCCTGTTATCAGTTTTAATCCTGTGTATGGTTAGAGACGACAAGTGAAAACAGGTTATTGAAGTCTTTACTATTAAGTTTCCCTTAAAGGGCTTCCGAGGTGAAACTTGGCCATCCCGTCTCATTGGTGGGACTCTGCTCTGCACAGAGGCAAGGCCTCCTCCTCAGTAGCTTTATTTTCCTTTGCAAAATGAATAGAGAGTGGGAGAAACGAGTCCGATTTCCCCCCCTTGAATATTATTGCAGCTGCATTTCTTTCTTTTTAAAAAGAAAACTCTGAATTGTGGATCCAGGTCAGAGGCAAAGTTCATCCTCACCCACTGTGGCCATAAAGTTTAGCTATCAGCGAAAGTCTGAAATCATCGGCCTCTGCAGGGTGCTCAGGCAAACTCTTGCTTCTTGGAGGGAGTCCTGGATAAAGTTTTAAGAAGTGATGATTTTTATTTCCTCTCTAGATGAGTCACACAGATACGATGAAGTTAACACCCAGATCGCTTGCAGAAGAGACACCCGCCAGCTCTTTTGAGCCACAGATTCTAAGCGTGCTTGCCGGAAGGACTCCTTAAAATCAACTGGCAGCTGCTTCCCAGAAAAGTGGCCATGGACTTCAAGTCCTGGGCTTGGTTTTCCAAGCCTACAGCCGGCTGATCAGCTTCTAAGGCCACAGATGTGACGTAGGGCTCATCCATCTTTGCTCCACATTTCCAGATCCATGTCTGACAGCTTTTTTGTTTTGTTTTTCCCAGCAAAACCCCGCTATTTACCACTGAATCAGAACAAACAGCAATCTCTGGGAAAAACCCGAACAACCATCTGCTCTGATTTAGCAGTAAATATCGGGTTTTCCCGGAGAAACAGCAAAGCAAAAGAAAATAAGTGGTGGGGAGTGTTTATTTGAGTCTCCCCTTGAGGGTGCAGTCCCCTTATGTGGCTCTTGCCTATTCCTACCCCTTCTTCGTAGTTGGGAGAAAGCAGTTCTCCCCCATTTCCATGGCTAGGAAGTGAAGCACCTGACACAAACAATCCTGCCCACTCGCCTCGACACACCATCTTCGTTCTGCCTCTGACTGTGGAATTGCATCTGCTCAGCTTCTTGGGCTGCTGTGCATGTCTTGCACCTCTTGGGCATGCTCAGGGAGGAGAAGGCTAATTATGATCGCTGTATGTGCTACCTCCAGAATCAGTGGCAGTGGGCCTCTGCACATCAGCTTCTGGGTATCAGGAGTGAGGAGAGCGGTGCTGTTGCAGTCAGGCCCTGCTTGCAGACTTCCTATAATGGCGGGCATCTGGTAGGGCACTGCAGGAATGGGACTTTGGACTAGAAGGGCCCCCTTGGGGCTGATCCAACTGCAAGGCTTATGTTCTTATGACTGAAAAGCATTCTGGTCCTACCTGCCGTCCTCTGTTGACTTGGGAGGCCACCAAGTTAAGGGAGGGAGGTGGTGTTGTGGCTGAAGTTTTTCTTTGATTGGCTGAAATAAAAGGGGAAGGTGGGGTGGGGGGGGGTTTTGGGGGGTTGGACACCAGTCTGCAGGGATTGCTCTTCTTACATGGGGGGGAGGGCGGCTAAGGCCCCTGGAGCGTTTGAAAAGGCACGTTGCGAAGCCTGAGGGGTGATTAGTCTTCCCAAAGCGGACACTTTGAAAGCAAAGCCCTGGCCATTTGTTGGCGTCCCACCTAGGAACGCAGCTGAGAGAGCCAAACACCCATGAGAGAGCGTTCAAGATGTGCTGTGAGTGTTTTTAAACCCCATCCCACCCACATTTTATCATAGCTGGTCACTGGCCAGCCTGTTTCAAAACAAGAGCGGCACTGGTGGCAGAGAGGACAGCCTTTCCCTCTTGGAAGGAGAAGTGGCAACAGAGAGGGGCCCAGCAGACTGGTCTGGACCTCCGGACCTGCCATCCCTCCCCCTGCCCAACCCCACCAGTTAGGAGCAAGAGGGTCCTTTATTTCAAATTGCCAATTCCCTTCTGCTTGTTAAAGGCGTCTTGCAACACCACCCGGGTTCCTGCTGGCCTTCTTGGGTTCCAAGCTCTGAGCTCTCAATACCTCAGGTGACCTCCTCCAGCTCTGGGCTTTCTGCTGCCGCCCAAGAGACACTCTGATCTCTGGCTGGTTTTGTCACAGACTTGATAGATTGGCCAGCTATGAGACATGGTTCAAACAAACTAATATTTCTTATAATAGGAAATGCTGAATATAACCAAGTTCTTATAGTGTTTGTTTTCAATAACAGTGTTTGCATAGCTTTGCATTTCAAAACATGTGCTTATAACTCTATTCCTATTCCTTACCTTATATCTGAGAAATATCTCCCTACATAACATTTTACAGTATATCACTTAATATAAAAATCTTGTGCAGGTCAGTAACAAAGACAGACACCGCAGGACCCTCCACAATGGGGAGAACTTTCCTTCACAAGGGAGTGACAGCTCCTGGTTTTGTTCGGAAAGACCCTCTCTATGGGCCTCCTTCCTCCCTGCCACACACTCTCCCTCATGGCTGCCAGCTGATCGCTTGCCAGGCAGAAATCCAACTGGGCAAGCAGGTGAGGCCAGCGCAGCTGCTCCTGTGGCTTCTCCTCCTACCCCACTGTTGGCTGAGCCAGAGGGAGGCACAGATGTACAAACTAGCAGAGCAGGGGGCCATGGTGAAGAAGAGGAGGAACAGGTCCAGGGAGGTTCTTGTCTGTGGGCGCCTTGACGCCACCCTTGCTGTGCAGTGTCAACACCGGAAGCAGCTGCCCCTGCTGCTGGCAGCATCCCTGGGAGCACCTTGTGGGATTTCAAGGAAAAGGGTGCCTGGCAGGCTTCCTTGGGTTGAGAATTAAAGGGTCTGTGCCCCCCCCCTCCCAGTGCTGCTTTTGTCTTATTGTTGCTGTGTTGGGAAGAGAGGCACCACTTGGTAGCGGAAAACCTGCTGTGCCTGCAGAAGGCATCACTTTCCCCCCATCCCTGGCATCTGAAGTTGGAAGGAGCAGGCTGAAGTGGCAAGGGAGCACTGTCAGTCAGAGGCGGGGTAGAGCAATCTTTGTCTCAACCGGGCAGTGCTGGATTTAAAGGTAAAGGGTAAAGGGACCCCTGACCATTAGGCCCAGTCATGGCCGACTCTGGGGTTGTGGTGCTCATCTCGCTTTATTGGCTGAGGGAGCCGGCGTACAGCTTCCAGGTCATGTGGCCAGCATGACTAAGCCGCTTCTGGCAAACCAGAGCAGCGCACGGAAACGCCGTTTACCTTCCCGCCGGAGCGGTACCTATTTATCTACTTGCACTTTGACATGCTTTCAAACTGCTAGGTTGGCAGGAGCAGGGACTGAGCAACAGGAGCTCACCCCGTCATGGGTATTCGAACCGCCAACCTTCTAACTGGCAAGTCCTAGGCTCTCTGGTTTAACCCACAGCGCCACCCGCGTCCCTTATGTGCCGGATTTACGTATAAGCTAAACAAGCGATAGCTTAGGGCCCCACTCTCTTGCCCCCCCCCCCCCAAATTCACTATTAATATACTTCTTCTCAATTGTATTTCAGTTCAACAATTAATTTGATAAAATACATATTTTGTTATGTGCAAATGGCTTATATATAGCATATATTCAACACAAAAAACAGCGACAATTTGTTGTTGACAAAGGACAGCTGGACATATAAAGGACGTCATTACCTTCAGGAGCTTAGGGTCTCATCAAACCTAAATCCGGCCCTGCACCCGGGGCTGCATTTCCCCATGGGTAATCTGCTGGGGACCAGAGGCGGGGGGGGGGGCTTTGTCTCTCTCCCCCTCCCCCTTTGTCACCTGCATGAAATCAGGCCAAGGTGTAGAAGAGGGCCTCTTTGGGTCTGGCAGCTCCATGCCCCCTCCATCGATAGTGTTGTCCCAGCTGCCTCTTGGCCCTTTGTGGCAGGCAAAGGCACCTTTTGGTTCGCTGACTTGACAGTGGCTTGAAAGCAAAGTGGGGGACCTCCCCTCCCCCCACAAGTTGTTGCTGGACTCCAACTGCCAGCAGCCCCAGCAGTCAGGGTGGGTGTTGGGAGTCCAGCAAGATCTGGAGGGCACAGATCCCCCTCACTCTAGAATCTTAGAGGATCTAGATTCTAAAGGTCATCAGCACAGCTATCCCATGAGTGGTTCCCCTTTCAGGGACTGCACTCTGGAGAAAAGGTCCAGCAGGGCTGATATGCCACATTTTGAAGTAAGCCATTTGAAGAGGACCATGAGGTCCAGAGCCTAAACCTGCTCAGAGCACCCCTGCTCAGAAGGAAGCATCTCCCACTAGGCTAAGGAGTACAAACCCCAGAGCCTAGGACTTGCTGATCAGAAGGTCGGTGGTTTGAATCCCCGTGACAGGGTGAGCTGCCATTGCTCGGTCCCTGCTCCTGCCAACCTAGCAGTTTGAAAGCACATCAAGTGCAAGTAGATAAATAGGTACCGCTCCGGCAGGAAGGTAAATGGCGTTTCTGTGTGCTGCTCTGGTTCGCCAGAAGTGGCTTAGTCATGCTGGCCACATGACCCGGAAAAACTATCTGCAGACAAACGTCGGCTCCCTCGGCCAGTAAAGTGAGATGAACGCTCAATCCCAGAGTTATCCGCGACTGGACCTAATGGTCAGGGGTCCCTTTACCTTTTTACTGCACTTTCACTAGGACTTATGTGCCACCGCCACCCCACCAGCACCCTAGTGCAAGTGTGTGTGTGTGTGTGTGTGTGTGTGAGAGAGAGAGAGAGAGAGAGAGCGCACCACTGGAAAACCCTAGCCCAAGGACAAATGATCAAATATGAAAGCAGCAGAGGGGGAATCCACCACTCTGCCCCGATTCTTGCAGGGCTGCCCCCACCAGTATTTTGCTGCTTGAGCCCAAGGACAAAATGACGTCCCCTTGTTCCACCACATACAATGGGAGTGGCAGCAGAATCCAGAT